TATAAGTCTATATTATCATAATAGAATAAGAATAAAGATACTAGATATTAATTAATCGATACTAACAAATAATTTCTTTTTATTATATTTATAGAAAATAAAAATAAAAATAATCGATACTTATAGCATATTATATAAATATATCTATTTTAAATTTTTTTAAATATTATATGAAAAAAATCTATAAATATTATAGAAAGAAAGTCACATTATCGATTTATCCATAAAGAAATTCATCGAATATACGATTTATCTAATCGAAATTTTGAAAGCTAAGGTAAATATTATTCTCTGCTCTATCTATTCCAAGAATTCAAAATATCTTCGATATATAGATTTCTTACAAAAGAAATATATTCTTAAGAATATCAATATTTCATCCCCAAATCGGAAATTTACAGAACAATATTCTCACATATATATATATAGACTCAAATTCAAAACTATATTTATTTATTATTAAATCAAAATCTTTCTACTATATAATCTCGAATATTGTTATTATTATTATTTCTTATCATATTAAACCCAATCCAGTCCAAAAGCAAGCCCGGTAATATGACCAGCTTCGCTGGTCATATCAGCTTAAAATAAGTGTATTTGTGTGCAAAAACCCTCTTCGCACGAATTTTTTGCACGTTCTCCCTCAATTTACACAATTTTACCACAGTGAGTGGTGGTAAATATTGTGTAAATTGCAATTATTTCGAACTAGAATAGAATTATATGATATCGAACATATGCCAATTGTTGCACTACATGTATTTTTTGAACTCATATGAAAAATATTTCATGTAATATTTCGAATACCATTGATTTAATTTCTATTTCAAGCAAGCCACAATAAGTATTCTTTTAACCATTATCGATGATTTGGAAAGTATTTTTTTCATGAATTGCGTTTCTCTTCTTATGCACCCCCTTCAAGAGTGATTCACAGTGCTGCCGTCGGTGTTGGGGCACCGTTGTCAGCCCGCAGGGCAGCTTCCACCTGAAAATTGCATGACATTCACTGTAAAGGTTGGTGTAAGGCCGAATCTTGGGCATCGGGGTGTTGGAATCGAGGGCTCCTGGGTTGTGGGGTTTCCGAGGTAGAGATACCGAGGAGTTCGGGGCAGTGAACTTAGGGCCCGGGCTTCGGGCCGGTTGCCAGCTAACGGACGGATTGAGGGCACCCCCCGTACCCAGGGCCTCAGACCCGGTGCTCAAAATCAGTCAAGGAAAACAGAAAGCCCATAACCCAAGACTCAGACCCGAATCCCGAATACGAGCCGCGGAAGATGAGATATCGTCCTGGCTGGCCTGCGTCTTTTCTGGCAGCAAAAGACAGAGACTTGCAAAGGCACTTTCAGCAGCACGACGACGAAGCTTTAGAGGGATTGTAAAATCAGGCTTTGGTCCCTTCCCTCCGGGCATTAGTCAATTGAAGCTGCACGGAACACATGTCCAAGCGCGCACATGCCGGGCCCCTGGCAGATTTCCAATGGGACGGATGCTGCCTCGGAAGCATAGGCAACCCAAAACCTTCACCCCAACCTGTCTTTTGGAGGAAACGCAGAGCTCAACCGCCTCGTCTTTGTGCCCACGAGCTTCGGTCAAAACCCCTCCTGCGAAGCATAACCCCAAACCCAAAACCCCAAACCCCGAACCCTAATTTTGCAGCTACTTCTTTCACCCTTGAATGCCGAATCCTTACAACGGCATTGCAATGCATTGCACGACGCACCTTCGCCTGAAGTGCTGTCAGTCAGTGAGCTCTCTTCACAGACGCGCAAACTCGTGCAGCACATTCTTCTGACGTTATCCTAGGGTCTACAGTCTACAACCATCACTCATCCTAGCTTCGAGTGTCTAGAAACATCTCTGCACCCGGCAGCCCGTAACCTGTGCCGAAATCCTGAACCGTGCAATCGTGAGGCAGTTCTGAGCTGCTGACAGGTACCACTCAACGGTGCGCTGCAACCCCTCCTGACAGCAGGGGCTACCCCTTGTGTAAGGTTCCAGGTCAAAACGTCCCCAGGCTAGGATTTGCTCGACACCTAAATCCTAAACTGCAGACCCCACTCCGCTTGGTGTCATATCTCACACCTATACGCAACACAGAACCCATCTCATGGAAACAAGATTCCGGTGACAACGATCATGGCAGCTGCTTCTGAAGGCCTTTAGCAGGATGCTGCTGTTGAAACCAAGCATAACTGCAATTATGCCGGCGTTGACCCCAAACAGTGAGGAGGGCCAGCCGAGACGAGGGACACTTTAGAGAGTCAGCACTTCAGTTGCACGACCAGAGGATGCAAATCCAAGAGGTCGCCGAGAACGGCTGTTCCAGATCCTGAGTTGGACTAGCAGAGAACGAAAATATACGAAAACAATCGAAAGGCCCCTCCTCCGCACCCCCGATGGGTGCCCTCCTCAAACTTTCGGCACCCCCCGCAAGAGTTGAGGGTTCAGGCCTTTTGGAGAGTGTAGATCTAAGCCATCTAACTCCGCACCAAGACGGCTCCCGGGAGTCAATAGCCGAAAACCTCCGAAGAGCCCTGGCCCCACTAAAGTGGTGCGCATTCCGCGTGCGCCGGCGCGGCCCCGCGACCAATTCCTTTACTCTGAATGTATCGGACCGATTCGAGGCCTCAATGGTCTGACTGGGACTCTTGAACCTTTGCAGCAGGCTGGACCACGATCATTCACGACCCCTACACTGTTGGGTTTAAGGGTTTAGGGCTCATGGAAGTTTGGGGCCTAGGGTTGAAACCCGCCCGTCAAGAAAGCCTCCAGTCCCGAACCCTCGCCGCAGGAAACCTCGAACGTGACGGAGGGCGACCATCCCAACTCGGAAATCTTGGTGCTCTCCACCTTTGTGGTTTTGCGGATGGGTGTAGGACATCTAGCCGTGTTAGTATACAGGTTCATGAGCACACACACGTGTATATGTACATACATATATATATATATATATATTTATTTATTTATATTTATATTTATATTTAGATTTGTATTTATATTTATATGTATATATAAATATATGGTGGAGTGTAGTTCGCGCATGCAATCCTTAGGACCCAGAGTTCGAACCATCGGTTCAGGGGCTTTAAGGTTTAGAGAGTGTCAGTCTTCCCGACTTGAGACGGATTGGCTCAACCCTCCAACCCGAAGGTGGTCGAGCCCGAATCCAAAGCAGCAGAAGTAAAGCCAATCAATATTTGGGGGGATCATTGTTGTATAACCGATATACTAATGTAAGCATTATAGGGGCTATCACGGAATGATATGTCTAGCTATTCCGATCCAGGTATTAGCAGAAACCCTCAGCCCCAGCACTGCAAAACTGGTTGGGGGTCGGAGGGGGCATCAACTAGATCGAGGATGCACGGCGGGGTGCGGGCTTAGACAGGCTCGATATCCAGGTCTGAGGTAAAGTTAAAGCACTTGCGGGATTTAGCCTCAGGGTTGTGGCGCGCAAGCGTCACGATGCAACGCCCGTCCCAACAACATCTGAAGCTGTGAAGCGGCCACAAGCCCAAAATGCTGCGCCCCGAAGGTGGAATTTGACAACACCGAGTGTGGGACGTCGTACGACGCGTCGTTTCTGACTCGATCTGCAACAACCTTCACAGAGATGCGGGCTCGCACATGGTTGTGGATTTACAGCCTCACGGGCAAGGTATACAATTAGACGGAGACACAGGGAGAGAGAGATGAAGTGAGAGGCAGAGAGAGAAAGTGAGAGAGAGAGAGAGAGAGAGAGAGAGAGAGAGAGCGAGAGAGACTGAGAGTGAGAATGAGGGTGACCGGAGAGCCAGCGAGAGCGAGAGTGAAGATACGAAAGCAGTTGATGGCTAGACTGACACTTTGCACCTGCAAGTAAGGATGCTGAATAGGGATGGCTAGGGATGTTGGGGGCTTCCTGCTGATCATACCGGCGTCGTGGCCGCAGGCACCATCAGGCACCATTCTTGACGACTTCTGACATGTAACTCTATGCTTTGACACTCTTTGCATGAGCTCCGTGACTCCACTGCCGCTTGGGATGGGCTCGGGTTGCCTTAGAGCTCATTTAGCATAGCTTTGAGAAACCTCAAAAGGCCGTCAAAGACGCAAAGCTTCATCTGAAGCCCTAAAAACTGAAGCAGATCCAACTGCAGGACCTCAAGGTGGCTGTCGGCGCTGTCAGTATCAATGTCAAAGAAAGGCATCAAAGCTTTGGCAACCTGCTTGGTGGTGGTGTGAGTTTGGAGCTGAGTGTAGCGTTCAAGATTTCTTGCTGGGGGACTTGCGCCTAACTTGGCATTCAGGCTGGCGCTCTTCAAGAATGTTTCGGATGGAAGTCGGCTGCTCGAAGTGCCAAAAGCTCCAACAAAAAACAACTCAGTAGGAGGATCACATGGCTTTGCATCGAGCCAGCGGAGGTCCAGATTCCAAAAGCCTCGACGCTACCCCCCCGTGTGTGTGTGTGACCAAAACATGCAGCCTCCTCATCTGAGCTGAAGGAGACCCGAGGCTTGAAGCATAAAGCCCTCGCTCACTAGAGGGTTGAGGCAGTTGGCAAACAGCCTCCATATCCCCCGAAGCCTGTGCCCCATGTTCCCTGAATGAGGCCTGGTGAGAGTTCTAGAAACCTCCCGGCTTTGTGACGCAACCCTGAATCGTCCTAATTCCAACAACATGCGAGCAAAAAGCCAAATGCCCCCAGCAAGGCGACGTCAACAGAAAACAACATGTTTGAGCTCTAAGAACACATCACATGCACTTCATGAATTTCGTCCGTCATGGCAAACCGCAGTACGGACCATTCCGCCACATGATCACACTGAACTTCTTTTGCACAGCGCAACGATGGCGACAAGCAGGTGAATCTGGCGACTCCAGTGCCGTGGTCCTCCTTCCCTGAACGCCAACCCCTAAACCCAACTCTGGCATCAGAAAGGCAAAAGATCTGAAATGTTGCTGGACTGAGCCAGCCCTGATAAACCCTAAATTTACATCCGAACCCTTAACCCCTCCTACCTATATACATCTCGAACCCAAGATCCTGAAGCACGTCCGTACTTCTATTTGGGGACTGATGCCAGAACTATCGAGACAGACACTTTGGGGCTTTCCGTGAGGGGCTCATCCGCCAGGGTTTAAGGTTCGGGTTTCTATTTTGAGCGCCTCTTTCTCTCCGCCGGCAAGAACTCGTGATTGCGAGAGGCCTCAACCCGAAGCCTTAATCCCTGGGTGTAGGTTTCAGGGTTGATTTAGCAGGCCCCGACCCGCCTCAGCTTGAAATTGAAGATTCAGGAATTCTGTAGCAACCAGGGCCCCTAAACCTAAACCCTAAACCCCAAACTCTATAACCTTTGCTCCCGAAACCCTCTGCCCGATGTCTACCTGGATGACCGTCTTGGTGCTTCCCGGCTCTGCGCCGATGTTGTAAGCCTGACGGCTGGAGGGGTTTCGGACTTCAGGTCTTGAGGTCGGCTTTTGGGTTTTGGGCTTGGGGTCTAGGTTTGGGGCTTAGAAATCAAGGTGTCGGGACTGGGGCCCGCAGTTGTTATAGGGTTTGCTTGATCTCTGTGAGCTTTCTGGCTTAGGAGCCGGATGACCAAACTTCGTGCCTCTGGAATAGGAGCCCAGGTCGAAGATCATTTGGGCACGGCAGCTGAAAAGCACTCGAACTGCGAAAGATGCCAAGCCCGATACGCAGGTCAAGCCACAAACCGATTCTGCAAACCCATGCGCGAGGAAGATGTCAGCTCCTAGCCCCCAAAGTCCGGACCCTCAAACCTAAATTCGAAGAGCGCAAATCCTATCGCACCCTCGACCCTGGAAGCACCCTTTAGAATTGTTAGAACACTTGTAGAATGAATCCCTTCACTCCCAAGAACCCCAACCATCAAAACTAGCCCCAGCCTCACCAGGGATGCCCTTTCTGAGAACAAAGTCGAAGGCCTGGCTCTGCAAGAAGCTGCCAGGAACACAGGATTCAGGCCTTTGGGGATTAGGGTTTAGGGGCATTTAGTCCTGGGGGCGAGGTCTAAAGCTTGAGGTCTAGGTTCAAGTGTCGGGTCAAGGCGTCGAGTAGAGGGATTAGAGTCAAGAGGTCAGAACAAGGGACAGCGTCGTTGCACTGGGGCTGCGGACGGTGTTGGGAATGCTCCGTAAACCATTAGAATAGGGTTTTGTCCTACACGATCATACTTGATAGAATAAGGAACCCCAAAATAATGTCGGTACTCATTTGGGCCCCTATATTATCGCCTGAAAACCTAAGCACCGCAGATATGACAGGATACGCCAAGCCGGCAGAATCAGAAAGTTTCTTTGGGCATGGAGCCGTTCCCCGCCACATCGCCTAAGTTTTTCCGTAGACTGTGTTCTCACCGTTGCTCCGAGAGACTTCCCGAGCGTACAAGGATACCCAGTACGACGGCCTTGGCGGCATCCTCGACGAAGAGGAAGGATCGTCTGGCTGATCCGCCTTCCCATGTCTAGAATCTGATTCGGGAGGACGGTCCTACTATGCAGAGGAGGCTGTAAGCGTGCCTGATTTTCTCAAACCCTACGTCTCTTGCTTCCGACAAGCGTTTAAACGACATGAGTCAGGCCAGGGCCGAAGTGTGTAGCTTCTAGCTGTTCACGCTTCAATAAATTATCCAGCGACAATGCTTCATTTAGATTAGAACTTGATCGTCTTTTGAGGCTGCAGAGTCGCCCAAAGCTGAGGCTTGAGGATCCAACGCTTTCCGCGGGGTCGGTTTCTTCGAAAAACCGAGCCAACCAGGCTTGCTTTTTTTGTTTGACAAGTGGGATTTCGCTTGGTGCTAAACCGAAACCCGCAGTCACACTCATCAAAAAACCCTTCAACCTGAAAAGCACCCGAAAGGCCATAGACCCTTGACCCTAAATGCCAAACCCCCCAATGTGTTGAATCCTAAGTCCTTAACCCTATATTCACCAAATCCGACTAAACCGAAAAGAAATCCCCATGCCAAGGAGCTGCGGGCCTCCGTGCAGAGGGAGTCTTTGCTGCCGCTGCAGTCGAAGGATGAACTTTGGGATGAGCCTAACAAAATGCCCTTTTAAAGGCTTATGTACCCTATAGGACTATAGGAGTTAGAGTTGAAGCCAATTAATAGGACTTTTTAACGATGCCTTTTTGAAAGGCTTATGTGCGGCATAGGATTTAGAGCTGAAGCCGAATATCAGGACTTCTTAACGATGTACGGGGGGGAGTAGGGCTTAGGGCTTAGGGTGAAGTGCGGTTTTGAGGCCCAGGGTGACGAGGGGTTTAGGGATTTGAGATGAATCCAAGAGGCAATAGAATGTCTTCAGGGTCTATGGTTGAGTCTCACCGGGTCATTTTGAGGTGTTAAATGGACTAGGAATTAGGAGTGTAATTCTGAGTTGAGGGATTTGGGCGTTGAGGCATTGAAAAGGTGTGTGCTTTGGGGTTCGGATTTAAGGGTGTAGAAGAGATCCAGACTTGGCTTGTGGGTGTAAGGCGTCTGGAGTCTGAAGGGTTCTTGATGTCATGAATGGTCTAGTCTACAGGTGTCGGAACTGCCTGTTTGGAAGGCTCTGTCGTTTATCACAGGGTCTTTGTGCTAAACGGCTGTGTCCTTATGCAGGAGATCTTTGTGACCATGTTGGTACACTTTTGAGCGGATGTGTGTAAGCTCTACAGCTCGTCTTAGCACTGTCCGGGTTGCTTGGCCGTTTCTGGTGTTTATCCGAGGCTGTTGGGCTGCATACCAGGCTTACCTTTGTTGCAGGCGCCTTCACTGGTTCAAAAGTCTGTCGAAAGTTTGGTCGCTTTGGCTGCATCTGTGGAGGTGGGGGCGGGGTTGCTGCATTTCTTGACCTGACCTCACTTGGAAAAAGGACCTGAAGCTGCCCGACCCATGAGCGCCAGGCTTCTCCGGATACTGCCGGGGCCCGTAGATATTGTTCGGACGAACCACCTGAAGCGTTCTAGGCAGGACCCATGAGCTCGGCCCCCGCAAATCCAAAGCCCGGCAACTCGGGTTGTGCGGTTGGGAGGACGACCCATCAAGTCCCGCATACTTCAAGAATGAGAGTATCGAAGATGTGTGCCGTGTCATAACACGTAACTCAGGCTCAATATGGTAAGTAGTGTTTATCATGTAGTATAACTTTACACCCAAGCCCTGAACCATGACCCCTGCACGGAAGCCCTTACATCACCTTATGCATCACTACATCACCTTACACCAAGCAAGCTAGTGCCCATACCTGGGAACCACCGCTCCCACTCCCATGAAAGCCATTGACTTCTGGAACTGCCGCCCGGGGGCAACAATGGGCAAGTCCCTGCCGAAGGATTCTACCTGAACTGTCTTAGGGTTTGGGGTTTAGGGCTTGCTCTTTGTAAAGGGCCTCTTTCCCAACTGCATGTGTCCGGGTTTAGGGTTTAGGGTCGTAGGGTTTGCCAGGAAGTGGCATCAGGGCCGGCAAGTGCTCCTATCGCGATCGTTGCTGTCGTTGTGTTTACTATGCTCGGCACCATTAGTATTATCAGGGCTGGGCTCACCGCAGAGGTGTCTACGGTTTTCATATAGCGCTTCATCCCATGGAAGTTTTGCTCTTGCTGAGGGCGCAGAAGGAGGCAATCCGTGATTGATATGATAGGGTCTTTGTAGGTTTCTGTGGGGTTGGCGAGGAGCTTCCCATGGAAGTGCCTCTAAAACAAAGCTCCCACTGATCGTGGGGGCCTACAGATACACCAAAATCCCCAACCTCAAACATCTGCCTGAACCTTGGAACCCTACCTTTGCTGAGTTGAAACAAAACACCTGCAGCAAAGCGCTCACAAGAAATACTACGAGAATCCTGGACTTGCCGCGTGAGTTGCAAAAGGAGGTTGGAACAATAATGATACGGGCCTTCATGGTCAGAATACGGTTTCGGTGGTTTGCATCACATAGTAACATCGAGGAAGCCTAAGGAATAGTATTGCATGGTAATTCTTGTAACTTGGTACCATCAACTGAAACCCTAAGCCCTGAAAGCCCTCTGAATACGTTCCCTCCTCGGCTCTCTTCTCGGCGCTGGGCATATCCGTGGACAATACACTCAGCTGCCGCCTGGGCCGGGGTCTTGATATTTGGGCTTTGGGATTTCGGGTATAAGGTTTTGGGTTTAGTGATTAAGGTTCAGGGCTTAGGAGTTGCTCCAAGTTGGTGTCCTTTCGAGGGCAGCTCTTATCACGACTAACTCGAAGTATGGGTCCGTATTCTGCAAAAATACCCCGAACCTTGAGCAACTCTTCATGCTTGAAGTGTAAAGCATCCTCTTTCGACTTGTGGAATGTGTCAAATGAAACCCTGGTTGCAGTTTGAACCTGGCATAAGGCATCAAGTTGTCGCTGTCTTTTGCTCAAAGCTTGATTTTGCTTCTCCTCCAGATGTGTGTCGGCTGTCAGTTGGACGCCAACTCCAAGTAGGGAGGCGGATCCGTTCAATGTGGCAGGTACCACAAAAATTTGAAAAATGGATGACGTTGCTGTATTCTGACCAGGGTTTCGGCATCCTAACATCCTACGCCCCGAAACCCTCCCTGCCTTTGAGGCGCTGTACGGGTTCATCGGACGGAAGCCATCCGTCTCAGAAAAGATGTGGCCGTGGACCTGGCGTGATAGGGATGAGCAAATTAGGTGTGAATGACGGGCCCCATGTTCTGTGAGCTGCTTTCTGGCTACAGATTTGGAGCGTCGATGATTAGTTCAAACCCCGAAAGTCAGCCCAGCGCTTTCAGTGTGGCCACGATGTGCCATTGCCATGCATGACATTGTCAACCGGTAGCGGCCGTAGTCGACCGAGCTGCTACAACACATATAGTCAAGTCGCACAATCACATTAGCGAAACTCGTCGGTAGTCAGCTTCAGCATGTAGAATATAGAAACACGTTCTGGACTTCTACGTTTGGGGTGTAGGACTTACTCCTATCTATCCCTCTCTCTCTCCCGCGCTCTCTCACTCCCTCTTTTTCGTTGCTTTCGCTCTGGGCTTGAGCCCGCCACATTTTCGCCGTAGACCTCGTCAGTGCCTCGGCATGAAAGCTCGAAAAGCTGGAGGTGGTTTCCGGATCCCCGAAGGAATGCGTCACCCTTGTGGAAGGGACGCTCCAAGGGGCTCGAACTCAGAGAAAATTAAAGTTTTTGGCACCCAGAGCCTCTAGTCTAAAAGCACCAACACGCTACAAAGTGGGCTTTAACTACAATCCTCAACACGGAACCCGAAAGCCAAAAGCCCGGAACACCCGTCCTACAATACCCCAAACCCCAGAACCAACAAGGCTTAAAGCCCTAGCCCCAACACCCTGAAAGATCTGAAACCTTAGGCCCTAAGCCATTACCCGAACACCCTCAAAACGACCTGAAACCCCGAAGCCCTGACCCCGAAGACCTCCCGAGGCTGAGACTGACGTGAAGGAATCTGCGGATTCTGCACTCCCGGGCAGCCTCAGGGGCAGCTTGGTGACTGGGATTGAGGGTTTGGGCATCCAGGATAAGGGCCTTCAGAATCATTAAGGCCTGACTACTTAGCATAGGCGATGATGTGATGCTGCTGATTCTGTATAGAGCTTCGGATCAGTCTAAACCTAAGATGGTGGCCGCCTTAGAGGCCTTAAGCATTAGTTAGAGCCGAGTTTCCTGCGTACTGTGGGAGGATGGTATGCGGAGCATAATGGGATGCTACTACGAACAATTTCGACCACCAAATCTTCGCTTCGGAAAGTCTCTTGCTGCATTTTGCTGAAGGCCGTCCTTGTCCTCTCATCTATCCCGAGACCGTCAAAGCAACCCCTAGAAAAGCCTAAATTCGACACGAACTTCATCGAGTCACAAAGATCCGTCGGTAGTTTCAGACCTGAGTTCTAGACCGTTGTTGATGTAGTGGTATAGAACAGTCGTGAGTTGTTCTTAGCTTTATTGGCAAGATGCTATCGTGATAACCAACGAATATTAACTAATACTCATGGTGACCTGTAATCCCGATCCGGCCTGCAAGAGCACGGCCGTTCCCATTGCGTTTACCTTCCACGTCTCTGGGTTGGTCGGTTTGGGGCCGAACGGGGCTGTGGGGTATATAGCATCGTAGTATACACAGCATATTTAGAATGAGAAGGGCTCTACAATTAGATGGGGAGCATAAAAGATTGTAGAGCAACTAACTATTCAGACCTTCTGACTTTCGGCGTGGGATCTAGGCTATAGGGTCTCGTCTTATGCCGCGACTCCAGGGATCAGTCAACAATATCAACGGTAGGGCCCCGTAACCCTCAGCCTCAAAAGCCTTTGACTCTCAGGCTCAGCTGTTCCGGTTTTGAAGCCTCAAGCCCTCATGGCCTAAGCCTCACACCCCGAAAGCCGTCTCAAGTCTCAAACCCCAGCCCTAAACTCCCACGACGGAATTCGAACATTGATCTCGTAGCCCGCGGCTGCCACATCCCCTACACACATCGTCCCAGCGCTGCTCCGGCCTCTGTAAACTTCATCGGCACCACAAAGGAACGGTCCACATGAGTCTGTGCCTGCGATGAGCCGAGTGCACAGGAGGTCTCGAATGGCTCAGTGTGAACTGGGGCAGCGCAGTTGCTCCAATCAGATTAGGTTCTGGATGTGCACTGAGGGCAGGTTCCAGGCAAGTGATGGATGTACATGTCACAGAAGCGTAACTGGGCCAAGGAAGTTAAAGCCGCGCGAGAACAACAAAGACTCCCCGGCCCTGACCTCCTAGACTGCCGAAGGCCTTACCTAAGCCCAAAATGCGAGGTAAATGAATGGCCCAAGCCCAAAACCTATAAAAGGACAATTCTTCTACATACTTTTGGGGTCCAGGTAAGTCTCTCAACCCTAGAGCTATGGCAGCCACGATGCTGCGAAGTGCATCACAGTATCAAGCTGGTGATCGGCCTGCCAGGAGCCCACCAGCTTCGGTTTCTCTCGGGTTCGGGGCTTTCAGCTTCGGGCTGAAAGCGCGAGCGCGGGGGAAAAGGCGGTTCGAGAATTTGCTGGGTTTTTCGGTTCAGGAGTTCAGGCTTTCGCGATTGAGGATTGATTACACGGCTCAGGTTCGATGGTACACCGTGCTGTTTGGGAGCAAACTCCGCACAAAGTTGAGGTTGGTACGTGGAGCTGTGCATTGAGGACTTCGGGCTCTTGGGTTCACAGCTCATGCCGTAAGAGTGCCCTGTTCCTGTGCTTCTTCGGCTCGCAACCATGATCCTGGCGTGTGTTTAAGGTCAGCCCTAACTCTTCAGGGATGTGGGTATAAGGTCCACTGTGAGCCGTGTATCTCCGACTATCCTAGCAAACCCTGGATCTCAAAACCGGGCCACCTTCCAGCAAGACGTGGGCTTTATTTTTCGAAATCTTCCCCCACGGCCCGGATGGGAAACTATGCGTAAACAGAACCCTGTCCACCGCTGGAAAGAAAACCAGAACAGCAAGCATGAGGACTGGATTTTGGAGTTGACAAGCTGAACTCCGCGGGCGGCGCACCAGCACACGCCTCACAGCCTTACTGCACCTTGGTTGTCTGGCTCAAAGTTGATGATAAGGGCTTTTGCATATCTTGCAAGCATTCGTTTCTGAGATCTTGCTTCGGAGGGGCCTGGCGCTGGGTATGCACGACTTAACTTCAGATGTTTTCAGGGTTGAGGGTTTAGGCCTGGCGATAGCTGCAAGGTCGGCCGGATGCATGCAGGTCTCCTCAACGCCCTCTCCAACAGCATCCAGCACCCGGGTATCCCGGCAGAATGTCGCCCTCAACAAAGAGGAAGTTTCTGGCGCCGCGGATGGGGTCGAGATTCAAGAGGTTCGCGCCTGGCGCAGTTGCCAGGCTCTACAGTTCCCTTGCGGCGTTTCGCTTGCTCATGCTTGCTTCGGCTGGCTAACCGAGAGGAGCGAACAACCAGAACAACGACCGTGTTGATGGTTGCAGGGGCAGAGCGCCGGATTAAGTGGCGAAGCAACAAGAAGATCGGAATGATGACGAATTAAACACCCTTGCAGTCCCAATGTCATTCTACGACCATATATCCTACGAGCCTAATTACTTTATGGCCCCACATTCGCTTGTTCTCAACACTGGACGAGGAGACTTCGGGGTTGTGGGTCGCAGCCACGGAGACTGTCTGGTACAGACAGAAGAGGTTGGGGTTGCGACATATGAGGAAAATAAGGCTTGGGGCTTAGGGGTATGTTATAACAGTATAGATCATAACAAGTTCACAAGGAGCCTGATGCAATACTATTGCCAAGTCTTAAGACCGCCTTCTTCACATTGAAGCCCTTCGTTTTGAGCCCAGGGCCGCTGTATTCCAAACACCCCCCGAGGTCGGCCCCGCACCCTCAGACAAGTTGTCCAGGCAAAGGAAGAACACCTGGGCAAGAGCAGGGTCGAAGAAAAGGCTCGGGGCGGTTGATTTCGGGTTCAGGGCTTGGGGTGTAGTCTTGGGTTTCGGGTTTGGGTGGTTGGGGGGTTCAAAGATCTCCATGCCCACGGCAAAGCTCGCATGAGTTTTCTTCTGAACTGGGGCTTTGGAAGGCAGGGTCATCACAGTGGAGCTACAGCTCCCGCTTTCGAAACCAGACGTCGGCGGGAAAGCCCTGAGGGGCTTGGCGCACAAAGCAGCCCATTCAGAGTCCCAACTTGAAGCCCCATTGTGAGATGGGATGAGCTTAGGGTTTAGGGCTTAGGCTGGCAGATTTTGCCCTCTGTTCTCGACCAAGCATGCACAGCTGTCGTAGAGATCGCAAAAGACTACAACATAGGACATATTGGCGAACCTCGGATGAACACCGATTCTCCAGCCTCTGGGTACTTCTGAACGAAGTAGATAAGAACATTCGACCTCGGATCGGAATGGGGGGAATTTGTCGCAGACTCAGAGATGGGAAAAAAACTGCTGCTCACGCCGCTCCCATGAGTACCCCGGTCATTTTGACACACGCGCAACTGTGCTTTTTTGTAGGAAAGATCTGAGGGGCCCCTCGGATGTGTGTGTGTGTAAACGCCTGGACACGGCGTCAAGTAGGTGCAGGGGGCCATGGTCCTTTACTCACTACCATGCCCAACGAAGCTGTGTGAGCAAAGGGGGGATGCCTGAGGACGCTCAGGCATGTACCTGCACCTGAGGACGGGACCCAATCCTCAACGCGGACTGGACCCTACTATTGCCTACCATCCCCAACTCGGTGCCGAGGACAGAAACCTTGTCCTCACTATACTGAGCACCAGGGACCGGACCCTTTTTCCCACCTTGCCGGGGACAGGACCCGTATCCCCACCATCTGGCAAACGACGACGATGACAAAGACGACGACGACGACCCAGTCTTCTTCGCATCAGTTCTCGCCAAGCCTGAGTGTGTGTGTGTGTGTGTGCGCGTGTGCGTGTGCTTGTGTGTTTTTGTGTGTGAACGTGGAGGTGCCCAGGGCAGGGTTATGCCCAAAGGCACCCTGTTTTGCAGACATGGACCTGGAAAGAAGGCTCCGCCCCCCGCCCCACCCCCCTGCCCGCTCCACATCGTAAGTTCTGGAAATTCCAAAATATCAGGACCTGAGCGTGGGAATATTTGTAAACAGGAGGTAGCCGTGACTTGGCAGATTGATCTCCAGAAGTCGGGCCAATGTGCCGACGATATCCGATAACAATCGCTTGCTGCACATCCCAGCCTGCCTGAATTGCAGCTTGAGGCACGTCATGCAAATGGCGGTCATGGCGACAGCCTCATTGTCGAACTTCCCTGGCAGTGGACACGGGTCTAGCCGAGCCTGGGTGCTGCATCAAAGAACGAAGACAGGCGAAAGCCACGAAGCGTGGCTTCAATCACAAGAAACGTTCAAACGAACACAGTATCAGCAATCTCAACAAGAAGGATTGAAGCCGGAATTGAGGCAGCGGTTCTTGGTCATCCGGTCATCCCTCTCGAAAACGAGCTTCTCCAACACAAGCACAGCAAAGGAACATACAAAGAGTGGCACGGTGCACGCCAACGTCGAGAGAACTAGCCGTAATTAGCAACGAAACACACATCTGCCATGTACCTGTCTGCCAGCCCAATCTTCCCGAAGGAGCGCCTCCAACTGAACGCATGATGTGGGCTGGAATGACAGCCATGATGCCAGTAGCCTTGTGCGAGGAATGCGAGGACTCGCAGAGAGAAAACTAAGAGTGTTTGCCGCGCCGTGCTCAGGAATGTCCCAAGACGCGATGCTGCAAGATCCGTAACACCTACAGGCAGATGTCCGTGTACTGTGCTCCGGTCTCCGGGCGGCTGCAGAGATCAAGTTCGTTTGTTGCAGCATAAGGGGCCATAATGCCGGCATTCACACTGCGTGAGATCTCGTAGGTCAGCAAACCAGTGAAGATCGAGGCCTGAGATCACTCTTTGCGGGAGAAACCTTTGCGAGGCGAGACGACTGCTCTTCACCGTGTGCTCGAGGCCTTTGGGCTGAGAGACAGTTCTAGCTCAGAGGCTTGGGAATCAAACGCACCTCTCTGGCCGAAGGGCACAAATGACCCCTGTGTTGTGGGCAGCTTTCCCTAGTTGTGATGCCTTCTGCCTTGTAGGCCATGCCGTGAGTGCTCGGTTCCTACATCTCACAATGCAGCACGCTGGATGAGACTTCCCAGGAACTCTTGAAATCGACCGGCTTAGGCTGAGGGAAGTCACGTTCTTGCTTGATGGCTGCGAAGTATACACTGGCCGAAAGCCTGGGGGGCACCTGAATCCGACCTTTGCAAGGCTAACAACCAACGCGAGCGCTGCTTTCGCGAACACATCTCGAAAGTGCTGAGGTGCCACAGAGCCGAACCTCAGCTTAAGCTCAAGTGACGTTGGTTTGGCTACGGCAGTTTACTTAAAGGATGCGGTAAATCCGTCAGGCGGTCAACTCGAGCAAGAACGAAGCAGCCGCGCGCTCAACTACTGAGCAACAGAGGGCAGACTCCTGTGCTTAATATTGCTTAATGAAGCACCAAACGTATCTGCACATCAGCTGCGACACATGAAGCTGTCCAAGCCAAGACGCCACGGTGGGATCATGCAGCATATGTCATTAACTGACATTGGCCCAACTGCCATCGTGGACCTTGCTTGTCATGCCAAACAGGAGACAGCTACCCTGCCACACAAAACAGTACCAACCCGGTGTGTGCAGCAAGGGAGCTTCAGTGGCGAAGAGATAAACGGCCAGCCATTCCTGCGCGGATTGCAACTCATTTAAGACGGCTGTCGGCCAGCAGTCTCCAGTCAGACCGCCTCCGTGCCCAAGATGCCACCGGCCGCAGGGGCGGGATGAAAGGCAAAGGGACCTGTTTGGCACTGTCGGTGCAGGGCGGAAATACTCACCCTCAACTTCGAGGACCCTGAACAAAGTTTCCGGGTTCACCGGCCGTGTACTGGACCCCCGGCTCAAAGCTGGAACCCGTCCACATGCCATCACATACCGCACGCTTTGCAAGGTCTGTGCCTTCCTCTCGGGGACGTGTTTCAGCACCTGCCAGTGTTGTCATCAAAAGAGTCTTTGACAGTAAAAAACCTTCTAACTCAGCCAGCCTCCCAAATGCCAACAGCCCACATCTGCATTCCAGGATAAATCGTCGTGCCTTACGGCTCACGGCAAAGGCAACCGCGCCGCAGCAACTCGACAAGACCACCTCAAAGCTTTGATCGTGCAAGTGCCCGGGCCCTACTGGCCTATGGGGCGTCCGATTGGATACCATGACATGTAGTCGTACCACTTGAAGAACTTGGACAGCCCGTGCTGTGCCAGGTACTCCTGGGCTGTATCATGTGACCATGCCTTCAGTCATGCCATTTCCGGCCAACAGTGACTTCTCCCGTGTTTCTCAGAATTCAAGGCTTTTCTGAGGCCGCCGATGCATTCTGGGACATGCAAATCTCTGCTCTTGAGTCGATTGCTCATGTTGCTCGTTGCAAAAAAAATCAGGGTGCACCTTTCTCATCTTGAGCAAGGAAATAAAGCAGGAAAGCAGAACCCCACTACAAGCTCTTCTAGAGTGTCTGTGCAGTCAAGCATCAGCAGCCCGGTAGTTAAACCACGGATCAAATTCGTGGATGATGTGCCCAAACCTTCACATGACGTAGCTTGCACTGAAGCTTCGCATGAAGGAAATCCGTTGCAGGAAGATGGGATGGCTGGGGTGGTCGGTACCGAACAGCTTTTGGCCAGGGTGCGTCCGGATGGCGTGGAGACGGATGTCCTTAAGCGCATGTGCAGACAACTCCGATGTTGCAGAGCAGAATGAACTTCGTTGCAGATTTGCTGCATAGGCAGCATAGGCGAAGTAGAGAAGGAAGGTGGCCTGAAGGACTCCAAAGCCGGTGTTCGTGGTGCACTCTTCCCTTTCTGCTCCGCAGCATGTTGAATGACTCAGTGAAAGCCATCCGTGTAACCCTCCACGCAGCGCGTGCGACAGCACACGACCAATGACCAAAGCATTCAGACCACCAAAGATGTAAAGTGACCGCTCGTCAGGTCGCTCACAGGTATATCTGATTTCGATTCAATCCGAGCAAGTCATGCCTGCAAACATGGCAGGCAAAACATCGTGCAACAGCAGTTCGAGCATGTCGCCCTCTATCCGACAATATGCATTGAATGACAGCAGCACGACGAAGACCACGACAAGGACTGATCGCCACGGAGCAGGCACTTACTTGCCGACAAACGCAAAATCAGAACTCTGCTTTCCGATGCTTTCCGCATCCCACGAACTGTCCTGCACGAGGATGAGGCCTCAAACGGAACATTGGGCACCCCGGTCTCTTCCCGGACACACAAATTCACAACTTAGGATTACTCTGCCTCTTGTGACACTGTTGCGACACAGTGGCCAAGCTTCACAAGCTGGCGCAGCGGAAACGCCACTGCAGAGGGGAGAAGCACCATCCGCACCACTGCCTGGGACTCTTTCTTTCAGACGCTCGATTGCTGGATTGATTGCTTGAACATGTGCCGTCTCCGCGGGCCTTTGCAGGCTCTGCGGGCTGCCCGGGCTGGGCAAAAGCTTCTTGAATTTAACGGTATGCGCTTGGCCTTGTTGCAAGCTGGCCACCGGAAGCTGATAATCTCCCTAGGGCTTTCCACTGGTCGTGCTGCTGCCTGTGATGCTTATACCATGCCACTTTGCGCTGTCCAGCATCTGCCCTGCATCGTACTGCGTAAGGTCTCTTTAGCAATAGCGGCTAGAGATGCATGAGCACGTAAGCTGTTGATGGAATAAGCTGTGCCATGCCGTGTCCAAAACTGTGAGCCCGAGGCACCGCTCAACAACTCCTCGACATGCTCGTGGTGAAATTGGAAACAAAAGTAACAAAAATATGCATCCGATGAGCTCGACCTAGCTCGAATTTGGCCCTTCAAATAACACATGCCCCCTTCTTCAGCGGCTTAAACACTGCGCAGGCACGCGCACCAGAAGGACTTGGATACGAGACTGACAACTGCTGGTACTAAATGCGTGCTGAGTACAGTCTTGCCCAGGTGCGGAATCCCTTACGCAGTTGTTCCATCAATGCGATCACGGAACTGGGTGGATAAATGCCAGCGTAAATCCACTCGATGATGCCCGATGTAATCTAATCCCAACATCGGCGACATCCACCCATCTGCCATGAACATCTGTGAAGCATCTGCCATAGCTATTCGCCAAGCAGATGTGTGACTACAGAGAAGCGACCCTCAGGCCCCTTTCCCACATGCATTTAGCTGCATCTCTCGGCGCTCCGTGGTTCTCCCAGCGAGGCTGAAACCGCGCAGCGAGCCTTCAACATGAACATGAAAGCACTCCACCCTTCAGGAGACTCCACAGATTGCGTTGTGAGACGATGCGCCTCCAGGGACATCGGCGATCCCCAAAGGCACACTGTGAGTAAGATTTCGGAGTAAAAATGCTGCTTGAATGTCTTGGGCATGGTGACGGGCTATGCGTGGCTGTGCCTTACGCTGCGTTCCCGGAGGCGTTGGTTTCTTCTACGACTTCGGCCTTTCCCTCAAGCTCCTTTGTGGGCTGGGATGGCTTTTCCGGCTCAGCCGGAGCAGGGTCAGCCGGAGCTGGATCGGCTGGAGTTGGGTCCGAAGTGGCTGGGGTCTCCGCCTCTGCGGCGGGCTGAAATGAATTTTCAGGCGCAGGCTCGGTCGGAGCCGTGCCCGTCGGCATTCCTGCCATGGCCTGCAGCCACTCTCCACCATTATTCCATACTGGTCTCAACAGTGTCTCAACGCTACTTTCCTGGCCTTCTCCAGCTCTCCATTCTGCATGGCATCGAAAAGGGCCTTGGCAACCTTTGGATGTGACTGACATGAACGTTTAGATTGCAGCGCATTTCTGTGTGAGGCGAATTCTGGGCTTGGCAGTGCCTTCATGACAGCATGGTTGCTGCACAGGAGCCCTCGTGGTGAGCTCGTCGGCTGTCGGGGTCTTGAGCTCGGCCAACGCCTGCTGCAACTCTGGCAGAATCTCGCAGACACACATCAAAGCGAAGCTCCAGCCATTCGAAACACACACCAGACTCATAATGAGTCTTCCAACAAGCTGTTGTTGAAACGGCTTGAGTCTTCGAGAGGCCGGGGAGGCAAGGCGTAGCGAAGGCCACGTCGCGTCGCTGTGTGGCCAGGGAAAGAACTCATTTTACAAGAAACATGTGAGAGCCGAAACACATACCCCGCACCGTTTAATTCAGCTTGCCGCAAAAGGGCGCTTGTGGACCTTTGGCCCTTGGGTGTTCTGTGACTGAATTTCATCTTCTGGAGCGTCGAACCGCTGACAGTGCACAGGCGTTTGGGACAGGGAGCGGACGGCTGAAATGAAGCAATGCATAAAGTCAAAAACAACAGTCGCAAAAGCTGCTCAACCTATCTTGGGATCCCCGTGCACTGGGGATAATGGGCTGGTTCAACAGCAGTGAAACGGCCTGCTCCAACGTCCCGTTCTCTGCAGCCTGCAGGGATAGAAGTCAGAAGTGTTGTCCGTGCCCTGTGTCCGAATTCGGATTGTAGAGGCACTTTCCGGGAGACACGTGACCCGACCTCGATGAGCAAGCCGGCGGCTCTTTCACGCGCCTCATCCTTACTCATGTTCTTGTCGCCAGCTTTGTTTTCCTCAAGGTGGTCCGAAAGGCCCCTAAATTGGCTGGCGTGGCTGCACGTAAAGTCTCCTTTATCTCGGTGAGAGCCTTGTGCAGGTCCCCGTTTTCTGAAGCCGTCATAAGCAAGTTGGCCACCTGGCAAATGACACACATACTAGACTATAGAACTAGAACCCTTTCATGTGCCTTGAGACGGACTTGATCGTTCTGGGGTCCTTCCTGGATCTGACGTATGGCCTGAAGCGTTTTCTCTCGCAGAAGCGCCAGCAATGCCGCAGGAGTTCTGTTAGCCTCTTCCAGGTCGCCATTGTCTGCCGCCTGACAGGGAAAAGGACAACTCGAAATGCCGGACCGCTCAAGAATTCCAAGGCTCTCCTGCATGAGAAGGTTCGCGGTCTTCATTCGGACTCCATTCATAGCTGCTCCCTGGAAAAGCAGAACGGGGGCAACTCAATGTGGGCTTCAAGCAGTGCCTCCTGTGGGTCGGTCTTTGCGTCCCTCAGAGCCGACTCCAGCTGCCCATTTTCCGCGGCCTCGACCTGCAGACTTCGAACACACAATCAACAACTCTGCCCGACAAAACGGATTGGGTGCGTCATGCATCCGAGCTGCGAGGAGCTGGCAAACTTGCGATCGCACTGCTGGCAAATCGCTGTTCCGTGGGTCCTGCCGGCACGGCTCAAAAGGGGACCCCGCTCAGTGCCGCTCTGCTCCGCTCCTCAGCTTCGCTTGGAGCTGGTGGCCCTGGTGTCCTGCCGCGGAGCTTAAATTGGGTTTAGGGATCGTCGAGCTTTTGCCAACCCAAAGTGTCCCGTCGATGGTGACAAAGGATTCCTCGCCGACCTTTTCCGGCTCCTCACTGACAAACTCTCTTCTCAGAACTTCACAGAAACTCCAATTCGAAAGCAGGGGTGAGAGAGAAGGGAGCGAGCTCGCCTTTTCCTTCTGCAGGGGCCGGGTCCCGGCGGCCTTGGTGCTGCCTTGACCGTGTCAAACATCCCCTAAAAGACAGAGGGAGAGAGAGACAGAGAGACTGAGACTCTTCTCGTGTCCGGGCGACCGGAGGCCAAGGGTGGGAGCTGCTTCTCCTTCTCCGAGTCTTTCTTTGTGCCCTCAGGATAGTGCAAAGTGCGTGCAGTGCCTTGCTTTGGCTTCTGCCAGTATCCTGAAATCTCTCAGCACTTTTTTTGCAAGAGGCGGTGTGTGAATGGATTTTCACGGGTCTCACCCTGCCGTGCATGCCAAAGTGCGGCCAAGTATTTGCAAACGAAGTCGACAGCATCAGCAGGCTGCTCCTGTATTCAGGGAATGAACTCGGGCCACACTGGCCCGACGCAAGCGTCTCCGACAGGATCAACATTGGAAAGCCCTTGCTCCGAATCCGGGTCCTTCAGCAAGGCCTTGCGAAAGCGAAGAACAATCTCAATCTTTCCCTAGTTGAGTATGAGGCATGAAACGCACTAGATTCGCCGTGGATATGGGCATCGCAGATCGTCGAGAGACTGGCGACTCGCGACTGGGCCCTGACCCTTGATCCCCATACATACCTAGATTACCCAAGAGTCAAGGGCTCTGTGGCTCTGCGCACAGCCACTGTTTTATGCAGCCCTTGCCGACAGCCTTGACTGCTTCGGAAAGCTTTTCCTTAGACAGTCGCTGATCGGTTTTGCACTTACTAGGTCCAGGACGATCACAGCTTCAGGTCCGACACTGCTGCTATGCTAAGCCAATCGAGAACTGCATGCCACAGGTGTGAAGCAACAGATGCATGTGGGTGTATGTAAAATGTAAGAGCAGGCATACGATCCGAAGCGATATGGCGTGTACAATGGTGGGACCCAAGTGTCGAGACTGGCAACGGGATCTGCATGCATCATGGCAGGGCTGCAAGATGTCTGTGCATCACCGAGAAGCTTCGATTCGATGCTTTCCCAAATACTCCTGCGAGGATAGGTTGTTATCACTCATTATCACTCTAAGCCTAAAGCCTCAAGCCCGGCTGGACAGTCTCCGAGGCTGTAATGTTGGTGGGGTGGTTGCGCTGCCGTGCCTTGGCTCTCCCTTTCATCTTGGCAGCCCTATCGGTCTTGGACTTTTGGACCTCCTCGGACCGAGTGGACATACTCACCTGCCCGGTGCAGATGTGACCTGATGCGACCCGGAAATCTCCCCAACCTTGAACTTCATGGCCGGGAAATCCGGGTGGGTGCTGGTGGCAAAGACATCGTGAATCGAAGCGCTGTCCGGCTCGGCCGACAGGATGCAACCTAGCACAGGCTGCATTACCAACTTCACTGCCCAAGAGACCGCAGAATTTGGAGCGCAATCGAGACTGAGTGGCTACCCACGTGCTGGTAGACGTCGACGCGCACGTCCTCAGTGCCCGCAGCGATTCATCTCAGAAGGTATAACCTGCCCTTCAATGCCTAAACTGCAACATACCATGGAGGTTGCCTATGCTCATCCGCTTGCCCAGTCACACGCCGGCGATCGATTGCTGGGAAAGTGTAGGCCTCAAACTTGGCATTCTGACAATGTCTACCTTCGTGCGTGATCTTGCTTTCTGCCCGTCCATGCTGGGATCATGGGTCGGGCAATATGGGTTGGGCGTGGATTCGGTTGGGGACACAATGCAGAAGCACCAGCACTTCAAGGTGCGGCCTGGTCCTTCGAAACCTTCGTAAGCTCTTTCGTCCGGAAGCCTTTTGCATTCAATTCAGTTTTTACTTGGGGCCTGTCGAATGAGGCTAGGAGCTCGTGGCATGGCCGGCAACATGATCTGTCCCAGTGGCTCTCTGAGGTTCGTATCTGCCCTGCTTGAGCACTTCGCCCACGCGCACACTCACCTTAGCAACATTGAGCAGCAAATCAAGTTCCACATCGACGTCCTTCGTGCCGTTCCAATGGGTGACACTTCATGTGGGAGCTTACTCGCAGCCGCTAGTCGCTAGCTTCGGATCGTGGCATCAATGGATTGATGGATGTCAGTGGAAGGATCCGGATCTCGTGTTGAGTTGTCTAAACTGTGCCTGCTAGCCGGAAAGCTGTGTTTTCACGCCCCATATTGAGCAGCATGTGCCCTCCTCAGTCTTGCTATGTGTGGACCACATGAGGGGCGCTCTTCAATGTTGCAGGAGGCTCGAGCTTGCAGCATCTGGCGGGCTTCAGCATTGCAAGATACTGCTTTTGGCATTCGATCCGGTTGAATGTCACCTAAGGCTGTGCTCAACACCTTTCGGCAGGTTTCAACGTTCGCCGTTGCACCATACTGGGTTTTGCAGCACTAGGCAGGCTCTTCAGAGGATGAAGATACTCACATAGTGTCAGGAACAAACAATGTCAATCAACCTCAGTCAAGATTGATGCTTTATTCTGTCGTTGTCGGGGTCGTGATTGTTGTTGGCTCAGCAAGTACCCCAATGCGCAAGAAGCCACAACAGTTGATAAGCCAAAAGGCAAAATCTGGCTGAGCAAACCTCCCCTAAAAGACTTCAATGCGTCGTGCTGCCAGAAGACATAGCAGGACTTGGGTAACATGTCAGGATTTGCACTTTCCACATGGACTTCCATCCTCGGAGCGCAGGCGGCTGGATCTGCCAAGCCGATGCACGAGCGAAGACCAAGATCGTCGGAAACGTTCATTCCCAGTGTGGTAAACAGCTTTGGTGTTCACTACGCCAGCGGCGGCCTCTCACAGAACAACTGCGGAATCACAAACGATAGGGTCGAGACCATGTATGTACGACGCTATCATCTTATCCATGCAAAGGCAGCACCTTGCTTCCCATCTGAGGCTCTAGCTTGGATGCTCCAGACGGATGCTAGACCTACTAAACTGTCATCCGCTGTGAAAAAACGGCAATCGGTCTTGCAAACTGACTCTATGTCAATTCCCGGTTGCGCACCTGCGGCAATGAGCAAATGCGATGTGACATGGAGTCTCGAAAAAGACGCTCACCCTGTTCGCTCGTGCAGCAGTTTCCAGCGAGTCCAGTGTCCTTCGACCGAGAACGCCGTCGTGTCCGGAACCCACCCTTTGCCACCATCGATGTCAAGTCGAGCTCGAAGACCAGAGTTGTGAAGCTCGTCGCTGGTCCAGAGTGGTGCTTCATGATTCAGAAGTCCACCTTCCAGCTCCGTACCCGCCGGCATCTTTCAGGCTCCTTTCACTTTGCCCGAGCAGGCAGATCACGCGTACATGCAGGACATGGATAAACACTCAGTCGAAAACAAATAAGTGTAGTGACCGTAGTGGCGTCTCTGTCGGAAGTCATGTGTTGCTGTTACAGCTCTGCGGCACACTCCGAAGACTAGCCGACTAGCCTCGCACGCATTCGGTTGCTTTATGGATGCACAGCCAGGTTGGAAAAAATTGTCCAAGCCCGCAATCTCCGCCTGAGGCCAGAAACACAAGAGTGCAGCTGTCTCCTAGCTTATGGCATAGGATCGCAATGCGGCCCACACGGCAATGTGGCGGTGGTCCAATACAGCACTGGGCAGCATGCTGCAGTGTAACGTCCTTGCTACCCAGTTGCACTTCTGTCATGGAAAGCCACATGGAATCGCCCAACTTGAGCCTGGAAGGTACGAGTGACCATGCATGCCCCGGAAACCAACAGATTGGCTTGTGCAAGAGGACTTCGGAAGTTCCGGTGCAAGAAGCGAAAGCTCCGAGAGCCAGGGGCAGCTGTAATGGTTAGCAGCAAAACATGCCAACTGCAGACCTAGGACACGCCCTTGGCTTCCAGTTGCCAGTTGTCCAGGATTTCAAGCCGATTCCTGTATGCAGTCACAAGCACAGCGGCAAGAGCCGATGTTCCCGAGGACTCAACACGCCGCCAACGCGACGACAAACGACATCGATAATATGATCAAAGAAGTGCAGCAGGCACTGCACAACGATAGTGCCCACTTTTTACCACAAGGGCGCCCTTCGATCCAAGACACCGCGGTTCAGGCAAGCTGACGCTTCCGCTCTGCCTACACACTGCACTAGTGCTAGGCTGGTGGATTTTCACCCGTCCTTGTCTTGGACGCTGCCTTGCGCGCGTGCCTGCCGGCTCTGATCATCAGCTTCTTCTGTTTAGCTGACTCCGTAGGCTCTAAGGTCCAACAGCCATCACGAAGAGCACTCAGTAGAGCTTCGCGTTCACAGCCGGCCTTCGTAAGCACATCCGCAAGCATCTGTGAGGTGTCCACCCAAACAGCGTAAGCACTGGCATCGTTGTCGTAGTCTGGGCCGCCCAGTATCTCCTTTATCTGAGCCACCAAGATCCTGACACGCTTGTCCTGGGGCTGCCCAGCGTCCTTGTTCAGAGTCTGTTCCAAGCTCTTGGCGTCCGTAAAGCAGGCGATCTTGCTCTTGAGGAACTCAGACTCCAGGTCCCGCAGCAGGATGTCGGGGTGCAGGACCTCCATGAGGATGCTCCGGAGGTACTCGGCCGCCTCCACCCCCATCAGGAATCCATTTGCCTCGGCCGCCAAGGTGCTTCGGCACACTCGCTTGATCCCGCCAGAGTAGGTCTCCAGGATGTAGAGGGGTGTGGTCTTGCCCTTGGTGATCTCACCCGAGGTAAACCCGATCACATATCCACACTGGGACTTCATGCCAGGGCCGTTTGAGAAGCTACTGTCGGCGAAGCAGAAGACAACGGCGTCCTCCAAGGTTAAGTCAGACTGGCAGAACCTCCAGGTTGCATCGGACGTCTCCTTTAGCATCTTCACTGCCTTGTTCAGGTTGACGACGTCCTTGATGGTGGGGTTGCCCATGGTCTGGGAGGCCAAGCTGACGTTGACCATGATGTCCGGTCGGCTCTGGCGGCAAACCCAGCCCATCTGACCAATCAGCCCGCGAAAGGCTGACTTCTCCGACTCACTTAAGGGTGAGCCCGGCTGTTTGCGGCGGTCCGCGCTGAGGGCCATGTACTCGATGCCCTCAATGGCGTCGAACTGGTCAAGCTCGATGTAGCCCTGCTTCTGTACCACGTTTTTCCCGCAAAACCGGAACTCGCCCTTCTTCACCTTAAGGTGCAGCTCGACCTCCATCTCCTTGATTGTGGCCTCGTACTCGGGGCCCTCTCCGGCACTGAAGAGGTCGTCGACGTGGGTAATCAGGACACCCAGCAGTGAGCCGCCCTTGGAGAGGATAAAGAGCGCGGCTTCGATCTTCGACATCATCCAGCCATGCTTCTTAAGCGTCTTGAAGAGCTTCTTCCACCAGGAGCGACCAGCGTCCTTCGTTCCGTAGATCGACCCTTTTGCGCGAAGGAGGTCGTGGATGTCGATGCCTGGTGGAGGTGGTCTCGGAGGTCGAAGAATCAGCAGACGACTGATCCCCTGGGATTGGAGATAGGCCGTCGAAGCGTCGCAAGCGGTGACCAACCAGTTCTTCATCACAGCGATGGCACAGACGAGGTTGAATGCCAGGAGGCTTGCGGTGGGGCTGTCCGACCTGATGTCCTGTGGGTTCTCTTGGCAGCCTTGTACCACAAGCCGACTCTTCGCCTCGAAGGGAAACTCCTTCTCGATCTGTGCCTTGCTCTTTCCGGTCCTCTTCGAGAGGTAGGTGGCAAGGAGTCGGGGCTTGGCATTCTTGTCGGTGTGCACCCACCTGGTGCCAATGATCTGTGTGTCCGGCGGGAGCTGCTTAATCTGCTCGTCAGTGAGCTTCTCCACTGCACCGAACTTCTGCCACGAAGCCCATTCCTTTGCCATCGAAGCGTCGAACTTCTCTCGGTCACCTTGGCTCAGCTCCTTGAGCTTCACCTCAGACTTCACCGCCTTGCCCGTGAGGAGAACGTCGGCAGGACTCTCCACTGGCATGGTGTCCGGGTCGCCTTCTTCAGAACTTGAGCCTCCGAAGAAATCGCTCTCAAGGATCCCATCGGGGCAGTCGGCATAGTCCTTGACCATGCGCTTCAGGTTGGCGGCACGGACGACCTCAGGTAGGTCTGCATCGTCCCACATAGAGTCAGCGTCGCCCAAGTAGTCCGCCTCCTCTGCGGCATAGGGTCCAGCCTGGTCCTGTCCACGCTGCTGTCGTAAAAGCGGATGCCTCACGGGTCTGTAAGCAGCTGTGCCTTGATCAGGTACGGCAGGCTGTGGTGGAAGTTGTGCTTGAGGTGCTTCAGCGGGGCGAAAAGACGGTGTAGGGTACGGCTCTGGTTCTGTAATGGCCTCCGATGTCCTGCGTGACATGTTCTGGTCTACGACTGTACCAGGGCCTCCCGTCCTTTGGTCTTGCTCAGGATCTCGATGGACTGCATCGTCACCATTGTCCATTGGAACCTGTTGTTCCATCTCAGGGCCTCCCGTCCTTTGGTCTTGCTGAGGATCTCGAGGGACTGCATTGTCACCGGCCGTGCCAATATTGTCCAAAGACCCGCCCTCGTTCGTGCCTTCTATGATCGGTGGTAGTACTTGAGGTAGCACAGATATGTTCGTGCCAGGCACGACCACAGAGGGAGTTGACAACGAATTCGGCGGTGGCCTCTCCTCTTCCTGCTCCAAAGGAGGGGGCATAGTCCCCGGAGCCGGTCTCATATCCACATAGTTCCTTGCCCCGCGTGCATAAGGAGGCTCCAAAGCCTCTTGCGGAACCATGTGCGCAGCCAGGAGCTCGTCCTCGGAAGCAAAGCGAAGCTGCTCCCCGGTCACCAGCACCACCGTGGCCCCGTAGCGAAGCCAATAGGTGTGAGGTTGGCCGCCGTCGGTTGGTGGTTCAGGGTCTTGTTGCCGCCGCTGGTTCCGGACCTCAACTCCTATCACTCTTGCCGGCCCGTGCCAACGGTAGGTTCGCGAAGTCCCGGGTTGTGCCTGAGCCCTATAGAAGTAGACGTAGGAACCGACAGGGTAGGGGCCACGAGTTGGCGTTGACTTCCGCAAAAGTGCCCGGCGAACACGGCTATCGGAATCCATTCGGATCGTCGCCACCTTCGCGGCCTCGCGCAGTCCTAGGGTGCGAGACATTGCACTGCTAGGATCCTCTGCGCTTTCCATCACCTCCAAACGCTCGCGCTCGGGGTCGGCGAGCAGGCTGCCTGGAACACGGAGCTCAGGGATGCCCAGGACCCACTGCACTGGAGAGTACCCTGAGGTCCTGGGGTGTGAGTTCCTCACCTGCGTGACCACGGCTGCTGTGGTCTGTACGTCGTCCAGGCCGTTCACCTCCATCTCCAGGACTGTCTTGGCAAAAATCTCTTTCCACAGTCCCCCTGCTCGTTCGACTCGTCCGTTTTTCCAAGGAGCTTCGAGCGGCATCACCTCTTGTTCGACACCGAACTGTTTGAGGTAGTCTGAGAAAAGAGCAAGATACTCCTTTCCGCGATCCACTTGTAGACTTTCGGGGAGGCCGGCCCACGAGCTCCAGGAGGCAAGGAAGTGCCGTAGTACCGCTCGGGTGGCCGGTGGACCTTGCGCTTCTCCCAAACACGTCACCACCTGGAAGCCCGTGGCATCACAGACGATGTTCAGGAAGGCGTAGTTGGTGCCGCTTATGTCCTTAGCATAGAAAACGTCGAGCATGAGGTGGGCATTGAACACGTACTTGTTGGGGAGTCGTACTGCCTTTGGTCGCCGCCTCCGGAGGGTATCTCCACATACGTCACAGCCGAAATGGTCACATGCTCGTATCGCCTCTGTTCTCGCACCTTGCCTTCGCAAAATCCTTTGAAGGGTCACGTTGGTGCAATGCCCGAACTGGATGTGGAGGTGACGAATTGTCTTCCGCAGCTCGGGGTCGACGGCCAGCCAGTTTGATCGTCTTTGGGACTCGGTCTGGTTGAGGACGGGGTCCAGCTGTTGCACTTGTTGAGCTCGGGCTCCAGCATCGTCTCCTCGAGAAGGAAGCAGAGAAGAAAGCGCCGGGTCATCATCGACGTGGACAGCTGGTGCCTCAGGTCGTACATACACAGGCGGCGCAGAGTATTCATCCTCAAGCGCCGTAGGTCTTGCTCGCCGACGCCTCTTGGGTGTCGGTGGCACTGCTGTGGGGAAGGCTTCCTGCGCGCCGTTGGCAGCGTAGTGCTCCACAGCCGCTTGCTGGACCAAAGTCTCCAGGAAAATCTCGGTGAGCTTCGGTGGCCTTTCGTTGGCGAGCCCGTGTGGCTGTGCCGCTCCGGCCGCGTAAGCCGAGAAACTGTCCTCAGCCACAAGGATTGTGGTAAAGAAGGTGCGCGTCTGGTCGGCCGTGCCGGCCGAGATCTCCAGCAACTGTCCGCTAAGCTCAAGTCGCAGAAGCTCACCTCTCTTTATCATGCCGCCGATGTTGGCGAGGATGGGCTCGTTTGTCCAATCGTGCCCGGGCGGCTGCTGGATGAACACGTGGCGGTTGCTCTTCACGCGGTCGCCCACAATCTTGTCGATGATCTTCAGCATCCTTTCCTTGTGTTCTGTCACCAGGTCGGCTAGGGATATGCGGAGGCCCGCCCGATTCAGGTCTAAGCCCACGATCTTGAAATCATGAAAGGCCTCGCCGGGGTCTCCAACGACAAGAACATACGGGTCCTCGGCCTTGAGGTCTTGTGCCAACTGCTTTCGTCCGGGCTTTGTTGTCGGATCCCAGCCGCCGTCGTGGTAGGAGAGGGGCGTGCCGATGATCATGCCGAGGGTTGCCAAGGCGAGGGAAAAACCGAGCTGGCAGGCAAAGAGCTGCTTAAGCCATGTCTTGCCGTACGGTGGCCTCTTCGGCCGCCCGGGTTCTCCACGCAACACTTGTCGCCGCTGCCAATCATCGCCATCAAGAGCCTGGGAAAGGGCGAAAAGCTTCTTGCTCTTCCTCGTTGTTGCTCGCTGCTTGTGCGCCGGGTGCGTGGCGATGGCCTCTTGAAAGTAGTTGGTGTCCTCGGCAACGTCGCCCTCGGGGAGGTTCGGCCCGTGGTCGGGGCCAAGTTCCGCAAGGAAGCGCTCATAGCCTTCCACGTCGCGCCTCATAAAGTCCAGCTCGTCCCGGTAATCCGCCCAATCGTCGGGATTCCATCCTTCGGGAACGTCGTGCTCCTCTGGATAGCCATGGTATTGAAGGTAATCGGCCATGTCCTCCTCGGTGGGCTCCTGCTTGCCGTCGTCGTTGTCCTCGGGACCGTGCTGGATCGCGTTAAAGTCCGTGAGCTGGTCCGGGTTAAAATCCAGCAGATTGACCGCGAGGTGCCCCTTCTTGGTCTTGACCAGAGGCAGGTCCTTCACGCCAATTGCATTGAAGCTCACGACGCCGCGCCCGATGTCCATAACCGTGCCCAGCTCCTGCATAAAAGGTCTGGAGAGGAGAAGGGGGAGGGACCCCGGAGCCTCGGCGCTGAACATCTTCCCGTGCACTTTATCGATGCCAATGGGGTACGCCTTCGCTGTTGTGCTCCGGATCTCGCCGCCGACTCCTCGAAAGCTCTGGGTCCTTGCCATGGTCTCGAAATCTAGACCCTTCTCCTTCAAAACCTCCTCGAAGCGGGCCGCCCAAGTAGACCCGTGCATCGTTCGGGTGCACCCAGAGTCCAGAATCGCCAGCCCAGGGGGGTCCTCGCTGCATGTAACGTAGACCTCGGGCGCGCCATCAGGCGCCACGAGCTGCCATTCGTCGGAACTCTGGCTCGGAGCAGCAGGAGAGTCGGCCGGAGTGACCACCATCACCTCGCAGTCGTGTTCGGCAGCCATGTCGGGGCGATTTGGGTCGGTGCTGATGGGGACTCGGAGGGTCCTGGTGCTTATCATATCAGACGGCCGGCTCGTCCTCTTTTCGCCTCGCCCTGCGTAGGTGCCGTGCTCGCGCTCAAGGGCCAGCTGTACTAGGCGAACACGTCCGAACAAGTAGAAGGCCAGGCGGTAGGTCTCGGGCTGCATGGGCTGGTTCTCCAGCGCAAAGGTAAGGACCTGCTGGCAATACCACGAATATTCGGTCTTGGAACCAAGCTGGTCAAAGGTCACGCCGCAGAAGGGAGTGCTGGTGCCGCACAGGTCCATGTCGCACGGGAGTGGGTGCAAGATGTCGCGGTCAGAGTCGCCAAGCATAGGAAAATCGGGCAAGGCTTCTCCCGGGCCGACCTTGATGCCGTAGAGCCACGTAGGTAATCCAACGGCACCGGGTCGCACGATCTTCGCCATGGGGCAGCCGACCTCGGTGGTCTGTCCAGGTTGCTCGCTCCCGGTGGCCCGTGTGGACATAGGGCCTTGAGTGGGCCGCCCAGGTGGGCTAAGAACTTGCCAAGGCGAGCTCCTTCCGCTGGACGGTTCGCCGAGGGGGGCTTCCGAGCTCAGCTGGACCCGAATGTCCAGCAGCTGCTTCTTGTCTTTCTCCTCCTGATGCTCGAGGGTCACGGTGCTGATGCGCTGCCAGAACGCCCTCGATCTCGCCTTGGAGCCCCAAAGGGTGCAAAGGGCAATCTGCACGAGGAAGCCCCAGAGCTCGACGGGCTCCTTCCGCTTGGCAGAAAGGACACTCCTGCCGCACTCGTCTTCCTTGCACTGCACGGTCCTCGTGTGGCCGTTCGCGGCACGAAGAAACTTCTTCTCCTTGCCCCCGTTGTGCGCGGCGTGGTGGCAGATGTCCGTCTTGAGCGTCATCAGGACCTCGTGGTCGGGGGTGCTCTGCGCCTCGAAGAGGTTGTCAAAGGGGAGGTCGTGCGCCTGCTCGCGGTATTGCTCGAAGGTGTGGTGCTCACAGTGCTCGTGGTGCTTCGTGTGGTGCTCGCTGCGCTCGGCCTGGGGGTTGTCAGCGTTGCCGGAGGGCGCGCCGACGACGAAGTACTGGCCGTCCGGCTCCTCGGCGTAGTCTTGTTCCAGGGCCTCGTGGAGCACGAAAAGGTTGGTGGCTGGCTTCTTCTTCGGAGATCCCCCTTTTCTCTTTGGAGTGGGGGTGCCCTTGCCACGCTTCTTGTTGGGACATTCGTCGTCCCCTTGCCAATGGCCGCGCTGGCCGCACGAGGTGCACGGCGTCACCTGCTTCAGGAACTTCACTGCTTGCTTCCGATTCTCGCGGGCCTTCTGGTCGATGCTCAGCTCACCCTGCGCACGGAAGCCAAAAGACTGCGTCTTGCCCGGGCCGCCCTTAGAAGGAGGGGCGCTCCTCTTCTTGTTCTGCATAACGGTAGCCAGGGCATCTGCGATCTCATCCTCGGTGAAGTCCTGCTCGCCGTGGTCCTCGGGAAGGTCGTTCGCGAAGAAGGCCTCGTCATCCTCAGCGGGGTCCGCAAACTCGTCCAAGTAGGCCTCGCTGGCGTCCCCCGCGTCATCCGTGGTGTCGTCCTCTTGCACGGCGAGGATGTAGCCACGGCCCTTGCCCTTCGGGTGCCCCTTGAGCCTTGGCTTCATCGCCGAGGTGGGGCCCGAGGAGCGGCCTGCTCCGAGGTAGTCCTTCCTGAACACCGGCTTGCCAGCGCAGTTCGGGTACTGGATGCGCAAGGCGTGGCCGATCTTCTTAAAGTCGTACTCGTTGCCGACGCTGCTCAATACATTGAGCTGCTCCTTCACGTCCAGGCCGCCGAAGGTGAGCAACATCATCGCCCGGATGTGCGCAGGAACGGTGGCTCCATCCAAAACTTCTTCCAATCTCTTGAAGTCCTGCTCGCGGCGAACGATGTATTGCTGCATGCTCTCCTGGGTCCGGCGCCAGACTTGGGGCGAGTAGAAGGCGGAGAAGAAGAGCTCGTTGATCTTCACCGGCGCCTCGGGAGCTATGCTCTCCTTCAAGGTACTCAAGAAAAGCTTCAGGCCGGCTTCGGTGGGCTTGCCTTCGGAGGTCTTCGTCTTCAGGCTTGTGTGTTCCAGCTTCCGAACGGCCTCATAAGCCGCACCGGACAGTCCGGCCCTGAGGTGGACCGGGGTGGCCATCTGCAGCTGATCTTGGCCTTCTCTGCCATGGTACAGGTCCCAGCACCGCTCGGTGTACTCCTCGAAGAGGTCCGGGTCTCCGGAAAACTGTGGGACGCCGTACCGATCTGTCTCTAGCTTTCCCGCCATCACGGCGGTCCACGGAGAAAAGAAGTGCCGGCCGAGGCGGGCACGAAGTCACAGGCACTGATTGCTCCACAGCAGTCAGCGCAGTAGCGTAGGGCTCGCGGTAAGCAGCCTCAGGAGCTGCTTTAGCAGAGGCCGGGACGCCCGGCTCCGCTCACCATCAAAGAAGTGCAGCAGGCACTGCACAACGATAGTGCCCACTTTTTACCACAAGGGCGCCCTTCGATCCAAGACACCGCGGTTCAGGCAAGCTGACGCTTCCGCTCTGCCTACACACTGCACTAGTGCTAGGCTGGTGGATTTTCATATGATTATACCATTGCTGCATATCGCCACCACAAGAAAGGCTGCAACAACGAATGCGAAAAAAAACAGCAGCAACAACAGCAACAGCAACAGCCACAACGACGACGACAACGACAACCACACCACCACCGCTGCCGCCACCACCACCACTACCACCGCCGCCGCCAGGACTGCCAGCAGCAGCAGCAGCAGCAGCAGCAGCAGCAACAGCAACAGCAACAGCAACAGCAACAGCAACAACAGCAGCAACAACAACAGCAACAACAACGGCAACAACAACAGCAACAACAACAACAACATCAACACCGACATCAACATCAACACTACCACAAGCATCAACACCAACCACCAGTACCAGCAGCGCCAGCAGCCCCAGCTCCACAACCACCAACAACAACACCAACTTATTAGTCGTAGTAGTAGTCGTTGTCGTAGCAGCAGCGGGAGTAGAAGCAGGAGTAGGAGTAGGAGTCATAGTAGTAATGGTAGTAGCAGTAGCAGTAGCAGTGGTGGTGGTAGTAGTAGTAGTAGTAGCAGGAGTAGTAGTAGTAGTAGTAGTAGTAGTAGGCAGTGGGCAGTGGGCAGTAGGCAGTAGGCAGTAGTAGTAGTAGTAGTAGTAGTAGTAGTAGTAGGCAGTGGGCAGTAGGCAGTAGGCAGTAGGCAGTAGTAGTAGTAGTAGTAGTAGTAGTAGTACGTAGTAGTACGTAGTAGTAGTAGTCGTGGTGGTGGTGGTGGTAGTAGTAGTAGTAGTAGCAGTAGTACTAGTCGTCCTCCCCTCCCCTCCCCTCCCTCCCTCCCCCTCCCTCCCTCCCTTCCCTCCCTCCCACTGCGCCCGGGGTTGAATTCGCAATGCATCTTTTTATGAGCATAGCAATTATGAGTTATCACCGGTCATGGACAGGGTCCCGCGACCCGCGCTCTCAGATGGAATCAGAGCAGGTCCAAACCATCATTGCCAGCATCGTCGTCGCGGTTGCCGAGGTCACTTGTATCATGAGAATGATCGTCCTCGCCGTAATCATCATCGCCATCATCATCTTTACCTCGCCACCATCATTGCTTCGTTCCTCCTTGCCGCCGCCGCGAGGCATCATCATCAGCATTGTGGCCAACGTGCCGCGATACTTGCCCTGCCCTGCCCTGCGGCAATTGGGCCCGCACAACAGCATTTCGCGTTGCTAGCTGCAAGTGGGCGACCATTCACAGTGATTTGTATTTTCAGGCACTTTGTCACGATACCATATGGCAATATTCGGCAAGCCGGCACTACTACGCAATACTGTATGCTTTCCTGCCGTCGGCGGTGTCAGGGCCAAGGCACTTGATCCAGCCGCCCCCGCCATGGATGTTGACCTTACTCTGTCACTTCAAACAGTCTCTGGACTGTCTCTTGACTAGATCATGGCATCTGCCAATGCCGCCACCTGTCAGCCGATTCCCTCAGTTCGGGGCATTGAACAAGGCTACCAACCTTGGACGGCAAACAGTCTCAATGATGAACCACTCCTGGAACGGCCAATGTATTGATGACCTTCACAACCCTCTCCAATGATGGCTTGAACACGCACTGAAGCACGGTTCGTCCTTGGTCACGTCTGCAAAATCCTGATCGATGACGACCTTTCGACTACTGAACTCAAACACCTAAGAGATGTCGATGTGCAGAGCCGCAAAGAAAAATACTTGAGAGCAGTCTTGAGAGCTCCGAGGTCCAGGCCAAATCTACAGGAGCCAAGTGCTGGCAAGCAATGTCCAGCCTCTGACTGAACTTGTGTGCGTCTCGGTCTTAACGGAGACAGCTCTGTCAGAAAAGCTAGGGCTGGTGGCCGAACGGACGCTCATCATGCGCGAACCGAAAGCCACCAGTCTTACACACTCTCTGGAAAAAACGCTGAGCCTGTTGCGCGTTCCAAGCATAATGTCTGAGAGATCTGCGCGCCAAAGGGGTACCTGTCGAACGGGTCCGCTTAGCAAGGCGGACAAACACAGACCGGAGCCCCGCCGAAATGTCACGTCACTACTCACTACTCCAAATGTTTCGCGACTGTAGCAACTTCGCGAATCCTCTGTGAGTCTGCGCGTATGTGGCGGTTCCAACATGTTCCAACTGCAGGTGCGACACCGTGTGCGAAGACCATCTGCAAAGGCTCCTGAAGCAGTGCACATAGCATCGCGTCAATTGCCCCTATGCCTGCTTGAGAACCGGCGGTTTCAGTGGAAAGTCAGCAAATGCGGTCACAGGGCATGAGCTTGTTGGCTTGAGCCTTCAGAGATACTGACTTGCAGGGCTCTGCTTCAGAAAAAAATTAGGAAGGACCGAAGCATTCGCGAGGCATGGACAAGGCCTTGTCCAGCACTGGAGCTGATTGCAAGGCCTGTCAGTACTACGGAAGTAGAGAGAACTGCCGTCATCTCATGGCCTCATTCCGAACTCGTGCCTCGAGTAGGTCGCTTTGGTACCGGTACAGTTTCTCCTGATCCGCGACGAACACACGGTGCCATGAGCACGGTCGGCCAGTCCATGCTTTGAAGCTGCCAACCGCCCGTCGCCCGCCAGCTGTCGCCAGCTAGCCGTGCTACACTCATTTCAAACTGCGAACCAGAGTCCTGAGCTTTCAGCCTTTCAGTCAAAAACCTCAACCCGTGGCTTGTCTGTGGCTGTGCAGCAGGGCCTTGTAGTCATTCGATAGTGGAATGTTCTCCCCCTCCTCCTTGACAATGTCCCTTGGATGCTCTTCGTGCCATCTAGCATGCTTGGCTGGAGGTTCTGCTTTCAATGATGCCATATATCTCCCACAATGGTCGGTCTGACGCCAAAGAAAGCCTTCAAGTACTCTGTGAAGACAAGCTTCGCAACAATTGGCGACTTCAGCGGAAGGGGCCTAAGTGTCGATGAAGAATCAAGAAAGACAAAAGCCGCAGCCACAGGTCAGTCGGAAAACCAGTTGTGGAACACGAATCTGGATTGTCGAGCAATTTGTGTTCGTCATGTCTACCAGCACCACGGAACCACTTGAACCAAGATGCACCTCGTTGAGCAGCTTGAGTGCCTGCTAGTGCAGGGTAGAGGACTGCTAGATGTGACCTGCTTGCTGCCTACACTGCTTCAGGGTACTGGGACTAGTGGTAGTGCAGGGACGCATCTGAAGATCATGATGTCCGATAATGTGCTCAATTTCATCCTTGGTGCCGAGTCTATCCGGTCCTCGTACATCTCAAAAGCCAGCACCGTAGGGGGCCTGACAGGGCAAAGCCTCAAGAATCCAGGCTAGTTAAATGCCGAGACTGGGATTCGGGCCTCTTGCGAGGTTTCGATGTGGCCAGCCTCATTCTCTCACAGCAAACTCACCACTCGCTTCTCGGCTTTTCCCTGCTCCTCCCGTTCCAGGGGTAGGCAAAGATATGTCATGGATATGTGCTGCACGATCGGGAGCGACCTCTGTGGCACGTCTTGTTTACGGCACCACTGCACCACCGTGTAACTTCTCACATTCAGCAGCCATCAATGAACTGAACTTGTACTGTTGCTCACACAGGAAGTGGAGGAGTTGCGGACTGCTGCCCAAGAGGCCCCGTGGCTATCGCTTTACAGCTGAAGCCTGCCAGGTTCTTTTGGCAGTTGCCACTGGCAAAGGTCGTATGGAAAGGGCTCAACAAAGATTCTTGGCACCCGGCTCATGAACGAACGGCCGACAACCCCCCCTGCACAAAGTCGAGGGAACATGCAATGCGTCTGATCGGCCTCCCCCCAGAAAGGTATCCATCACGATGTCCACAGAGGGAAGCGAAGCGATGCAAGTCAGTGTCTTCAGAAACTCATTTCCTGACCAGGGGTCTCCTCTACAATCTACAACACGACCCAATATGCCTTCACCTCTTCCGTCTTTATCTCCAAGTCTCGCCTGGACCGAAGAGCCTGCGGTGTTTGACCAAGAGTTCTGTAGCTCCCAAGTCCACAAGACATCCCTGGCCCAAAATTCTTCAAGAAGTCCTTGGCAGCATCTTCGACTGCATCTCAACAACTGACCTTAAGCTGTAGCCTGGGCTACGAGTGCTTCCGAATGCAGGGAAGACCACATTTCCCTCCCTCACTGCACCTACGAGACTGGCAGGCTCGCTGGCGGCTTCTTCCTGCCGGAAATGCCAAGTTGGTTGTTCAGCGAAGCCCAGCACATTCTTCAAGATTCTTACTCAACTACCGTGCTCGGTCGAAGCAATACCTCGTGAAAGCTGAGGCTGCAATTGCCCTACATCATAAACTAGCCTTTGCAGTTATTAGTGTTCATTCGTCGTGATGCATTTTTGTTCCATCGCCTCACCTTGACAGCAAGTCAGTTGTTGGCATCGGCTTAAGTCCTTGCTCCTCTCTGCGCATCTTCGCACACCGAGCCACGAAGCTTCAGCCCTGGACGGGCCGTCGTCTCCTGACACATGTGCTGCTCAAAGTCTGTGTTCTTCTTGCGGCGTCGAACGCCCTTATGATCCTGAATCTTCCTGGCTCATTGGCTGAGAAATTTGCTGCCCAGTGGAAAGATGCAAAGGACTTTCATCTCGGCCTCTGTGCTGTGCTGCGAGGAGTGCCTGCAGCAAGCCGGAGCAGCAGCTGGTCTCCTTTTGCAGGCTGACCGGTCTGTCGTCCGGTGGCGAAGCAAAAAGGAACACCTCCTCTACATATATCATATATCTACATGCAGTAATGTGATCTAAGGCCACCACGTCGAAGCCATAGCCAGGTGGGAAACAGGTTGCATCTGGACCTAATCCATAAGCCAGCAAAAGGCTCTTGGGATTGCAAGGCCGTTTGCGAGGCTTCAAGCTTGCTGCGGTCTAGATCTTTCCTATTCAGTTTGACTTGTCTACTCTCAGCCTAAAGAAGCTCGGCAGGGCTCCCAGACTCTACGAAACGTGTGCTTGCAACTATGGCTGTCGCATGCTGTCGCCTTGCTTCTGGCGGCAGGCGTTGCTAGGGGCCGAATGGAATGCAGGTGGCCAAAACTTCGCAAGCAGCAGCGCTCGTAGGTAAAGCCAGCTTGCCAGCATTCCTGCCAGCGAGAAGCTTCTTGCAAACTGGAATCTCTCCTCTGCATTGGCCACTCGCCGAGGCATATCTCGGCTCCAAACACTTAGACTTTAAACAGAGCCAAGTCTCTGCAGCGGTTCCTGGCCGTGACATCCCGGCAAGGGGCTGAAGAAGCACCTCTGCTGTTCAGGGTTTCTTAATCCTGGGGCAGGGGGCTGGTGCGGAATGGCTTCGCGATTGATGCAGCCGATGTCTCCCAAAAGGCCCAGAGCCCGAGATTCGCTATGCAAGCAAAGCAAGCTTCACGGCTTCGTCTTCGCGCTTTCCAAGCGATACACATCAGGTTTGCGAGATTTGAGCTGCATCCAAAGGGTGCCCACGGACGCCCCTGTGCCTCACCTCCCCAAATGTCCAACTGGGGTCAATGTAAACTCTTGACTCGTGCAGTTAACTGAACCGTGGGGCGCTCTCGGTAGGAGCAACTTAGTCATACCCTTGGCTGACCCCAGTGGCACCAATACTTGCTCGTTCAAAGCCAGCTTTGAGCACATCCCCCTGTCGACAAGCTTGAAACAGCAAAGCAAGAACTTCAGACTGTAGGTAGTCTCTTGTCGTGTGACATGCTCCTGAGGACACGACGGGATACATGTGCTGCAAAGCTGGCAATACGACGACCCACACCAGATGCAGCAGAGCAGCAGAAGTGATGCAGAGAAATCTATGGCGGTGGCCCATGCCCTGGGCAGCCGTCACGGTAGCATGGCAGGGCCACGGCTACAAGACTGGCTGCTGCAGTTGAGGGCTGTATTGAAATCACTGGCTTTTGAGGAAGGCACTGCGCGCTGCTCAATCTTCTCATGCTTTGGGATAGCGGTGATCAGAGCCGCTGGCCCCTCTTTATCCATGCACCAGAAACTCTGGAATCTTGCTCGGAACGCTTTGTGTCATCTTCTCTGGACCATTTCTTGCAAGCCCCCATGTCCAAAGCTTGTTAAAGTGCGGACTTTTCTTGAATGTAGTAGTCTCGGCGCAAGGCTTGTGGCTTGCGCATGGGCGCGCTCTTGTGGCGCTGAACTTCAGGCCTCGAGATCCCTGGCAGCCAGGAGCAGGCTGAGGACCTGCTGCCGCTTGCAAGGCGCAGGTCGGCTGTGAAACAGCGCTTCTCTGAAAGAGTAGATGTTCCGCGAGTTCTGCGAGGCGTCGACGATGTCGATGGGAGTGAAGCTTCGACCCGGCCACACCGAAACAAAGCAGACATCTGTCACCTTCGCACCGGATGCGAGCAGTAAGTCGCAAATGTCCACGGCACCTCAGGGACATCCCCTGCATGGCCACCCGGCTACACAAGACGGAATCCAAAGCACCAGTATTCTCGGATGCTAGTTAGTGCAAGATCTAGAACGCATTGTGAGAACACGCCTTTGCTTGCAGCGACGTGGAGTGGTGTCCAACCATATGCATCCCTGCCGGCCACCTCTGCTCCAAGATCCAGCGCCTGCCACCAAGGCAGGCAGAAATCGCAGAAGAGCCATCAAGTGTCAGGCCCAGAGGCCAAGATCTCGCAAAGGAAGGCTCGAGTTCCTCGCCTGTCTAGCACCTTCGAGGTCTTGCTGGCGGACGGCTTCGTGCAGCAACCTTGCATCAAAGAGCTACAGCCTCGGCTTGCAATGGCTTGCAGTCCACTCGGAGTGACTTGGTTCCAGGCCTGCGGCTTTTGGAGCTTCTGGGAAAAAGGCACACGGAGGTGCTAGCCTTGCCTTTCCATGGGGGCCCGTGCAGACTTCGCCATGCCACAATCTCGAGATTTGAGTTCGAATGCCCCTTAGGACGAAGACACCCCGGATTCTGCCGGGCAGCCGATTGAACTGTGCTTCCACTCCTAGTGCCTTCTCGAGGGCCAGGCGCAGGCCAGGTATAGAAGGAGAAAAAGCCTTCAGAGTGATCCGTGGGAGGCTTTGTGCCAGCTCTCCAATGCAGCTGTGCAAAGACCCGCGGGCCCTCACGGGAAATCTAACACCACGGTTCGTATACTGAACCCAGAGATGCACCATTTCCAGAATGGGCCTGCTGAACTCTCTTGGACATGCATTAGGGAGTCTTTGCAACGCTCTACAGGATTTTTTGGCTTGAATGTTTAAGTCTTTGCCATGCCAACAGGTCCTGCAGTCAAAGGACCCGTTATATCGTGACAATCGACTGCAGAATCCGACAACGGAAAGTAACGAAGACAGCATGCTAATCCGGGACATAGGGCGATCTACCTGTCAGTCAGAAGATGGTGTACAACAGTCCAGTGACACGGGTTTCGGGAGCTACCAGCATGGGTTGCGAGGGGTCGGAAATGGATGGAACAATCTCGGCACGATCCTGCAGCCATGAAGCCACGTTCATCAACAATACCCAGGAAGGCCAGGACCTGGAAACTTGGCCTGCTACTCTAAACGCAAATAGCCGAGGATTGATTCGGCCAGTAAAAATAACTTTGCACCTCCTGCGGTGCTCGTGAAAGCTGTGGGCGTGTCGCCGTCACCACACCAGCGAGGCGCACACAGCATTGCCTCCAGTTGTCCACTGGACGGTCTGCAGGATCTAGGGCCTAGGGTGCTTCAACATGACAAATGAAGATTTGATGTGAAGCTGGGCGCTGCCAGGCCCCCCCCCCCCCACCCATGCGGTGATGCAGTGCCATTCTGCATTTTTGCCGAGCATGATGAACACAAACTTTTTTCTGCAATCAGCCATGTTACTATCAGCTGCATGCCGAACACGACGTGGCCCAATGCATAGGATTTCTGAAACAGTTGTGAGCCCTACAAGCAATACTTTCAGCGTTTGTCGGTGCAGCGCGCTTCAATCAACAATGACTTGACTGAAGTGGAGTTTGGGGACGATCACTGTTCACCCAAAGCGCAAACAAGACCAGAGCAGCAGTCCCCACTTCTCTTACTGGGAAAATTCTGCAAGTTCGCTGCGCTCCAAGAGAGTATGGTGATGTTACCGCGACACTTAGCTGAGGAAACAGGAACTATTCCCGCCTGTTTGGCACCTCCCCGGTGGTCGCCCAGTGCCGAAGCACGGTGCGCAGTGCTAGTACAGCAAGGTCGTGTCGCCTTCCACCTCCAGTGGAAAGACAGTTGCACCGAGAACCTGAAGTCTTCGCATCAGTTCAACCAGCAAGACGGAGAGTGCTGTACAGCTTTCAACTGACTGTCTGCAACGATTCGTTGCCAGTGGCCCTCTCGGCTGTGCCTGGCTGCAAGCGCTTCTGCCGAAGCTCGGCTCTGCGCGTATCCTGAGAATCGTGATGGGTCTGAGTCTAGTCCAAGTAGTAGCGACTATCAAACAAGCACCTGAACTATGGATGCCTGGCCCTTGGCTGCTCTCATCTACTTCTACATCCATTGAGACATGAAGACATGAACCATCAAGAACCGGTAGTCACCTCTGTGTCACAGGAGGACAACCGCAAGCGCGAGAAGCACAGTGAGTGCTCGCTGCTTGCAAATGCTCCGGTCCTCTGGAGCAGTGGCTCGCGAAAGCGTACCACGGTCCAAGCAGAAGCACATTGCACTTTTTTTTGCACTGGTGGTGCCGAGGCCGCCGAATGCCGGAGAAATCGGACACGGGATGACACGGGTGTCAGGTCGCATGGGTTCTTGGAAGGGTGAGGATTTACAACTCCCAAGAGTTCCATGTACCATTGTACAGCTCTTGAACCTTGAATGCTTGCGACAGGGCATGCAGGCTACCCGTTCGCGACAGTCGACAAGCATGAGCACATTGATATCGGGAAGAGCTGTGGTCTCCTTCCAAGATCGAACTCCCGTGCTGACTCACTGGATCCATTTTCAGTGGCCATGGAAACGATGCGGTGCTTTTCAAAGGGGCATCGACGAAGTGATGACAGTGGTGCAAACTATCAAGCAATGCCGCATCAAGCCTCTCTTCTCAGTTCCGTGGAATTCCATCACACGTCGAAAAGGCTTCCAAACGGATCCTCTGCCGTCAGTCGGAAGTCCATAACTGTAGAGCAATCAGAACAACTGTGGAACCTGCTAGTGCGGGGGCCTGCTGCTAGCTGCTAGCTTCCCGTCAGTCAATGCCAGTCAGACTGAATTCCGGCGTATGGCAATCCGGGTCAGCAATGTCCAGGCGTGGCGAAGAGCCTTATGTTCCACGCTCTCACCCCCAACCTCACGAACGGCCTCAAGGCAGCTTAAACTTTAGACCCAACTGTGTCGCTCATGTGTTACAAGCGAAAATCCAACTGCAAGTTTCCTGGAGCACTGAACGAGCACCTTCGATGCTCTGCATGCCTAAGAGTCTGGGAACCCTGTGGCGGGAGCACGGGCACCAAAACACGCACGCCTGGCCTCACCAAGTATGCGGGATTATCAAAAAGGGGCGTCAAAAGCAGGACTGTGGCGGGGGAGCCTCGGAAATGTTCGTGTGCCTGTGGAGGGTCGGCGGCCATGGTAGAGTTTTTGTCCTCTAACCGTCGACATGTCGCTTCCTGGGGCGAGGTACAGAAGCTCTGGCTGCGGGACATTCCGGGCAGCCGCGGGGCATCTCGCAACCTGGCCGAAGGAAAGACAAAATCCGTAAGACTCGCAAGACAACCTACACGAAGGTAAGAGCTGTCAAGGAGCGAGGGCGAAGAATTTGAGCGTGACAGCCGGGAGCGAGGCAACTTCCGGAGCTCCTCGAAAACGAGCCCTAGCCAATGCGAATCCATGCGAGCTCCAATCGTACACGACCAGACGAGAGCCTCCGATCTGCTTGACATTCGCGAAGCATCGAGACGTTCAGCGACCTGACTGCCAAGCCAAACCCAATGCTGCTTGGGTTCCCACTCCAAGGAAGGGGTTTTGGTTTGGGGTCACAGCTCCTCTCTCTCTCTCTCTCTCTCTCTCTCTTTCTTGCTTTCTTTCTTCTCTCGCAGATGGATCTGCAGAACTTGTCTGTACTTCAAGAAAGAGAATTTAACTACATGCAATAACATGCTAGGGCCGCTAGGCAAAGAAGGCAGCGCTGCATCAGAATTGCGGGAGACAGCACTTCCCGCAGCGCATTCTGGCACGGCTAGGCTGCGCGAGATGTACAGTGCAGCTGAGAGTCAGCCCCCTCCTCACCTTGCTCTTTTTCAAAGCTCGGCTCCTGTGTCACGGAATCATTGTCAGCATCGAGATTGCCATGAAAGAGAATGCTTTGCATAGCTTTGGGAACCGGAAGGGAGCCAAGGAAGGGGTCCATTCTTGCGCAGTTCGGGTCAGGACACATACTTGTTCGGGCCTGGAAGGCCCAGGGCTCCGCGATGAAGGCCTTCAGGGTTTCGAAGTCTTCCTCGCCTCAGGGTCGCTTTGGTGCTGCTTTGGTCGTGAAGGACCCCTCCAGCTAGTAAGCCTGGTCGCTGTGCGCACCGATGCCTCCAAGCTGGTTCAGCGGGCCACAATTTCTGTAGACCTCGTCGTACCGGGCCACTTTGCCTCAAAGTTTCGCGAGGCTCTTTGAGGCTTTGCCGCTCTTCTGACTTGCATGGTGAACTACAACTGTCGCTGGTTTCATGGGTGCAGCTTCTACACTTCACGAAACGAACCCAGCAACGACTGCCAAGGCACAGTAGCGCAGCGCCTGCTTGCCAAGCGGGCTCTGAAGATTTTCTCGCTCGTCGTCGATGAGAATGACCTGAACGAATTGCCAGGGGAAATCCGGATGCATCGACGGGCCAAGTGGCAGTACCTCTCCTTCCACTTCGGCACCGCGTGGCATGCAAGGCATCGTAAGGCTGTGTAACGCCGCAGGCTGTACAAATTCAGCATTTGGACAACGATGCTTTTTTTTGTAATGCTGCTCCCCGCTTGTTTATGCTGGCCATGATGGAGGTCCTCTTGTTATGCTCGATCCGGCCTGTCCTTGTGCTGGGGTCTTCCTTGGTATGCTGAGCCTGGCTTGTCTTCTGTGCTGCAGGGAAGCGGTTGTTCCGGCCAGGCCCCTGACCTTCCTCCCCGATAGGCCGGCAATGGAATGGAGATATGGAGGTGGATGGAGATGTGGAGGTGGGCAGAATAAACATATGTACATACAGAACACATAGAATCAGGACGCACACACACACACATGCACACAAACAGAGACCTGAGTGAGTACTTACCGAACGTGGAGAGCTTGGCTGCTCTCAACCTCCCCCATCCGGGCCGGAGCACCGATTCAGGGGACAGCGGTTGCAACCGCACAAAGCGATCCTGGCACAGGGTCATGCAGCCGAGACGCGTGATACTTACAGAAGTGGTATGCCTATGCTATGCGCAAACGAAGGCTCGGTCCTGCTTCAGTCCAATTTGAGGAAACCACTTGTCGGTGTGGTCCACCTTAGGGCACCAGGCTATCTGGGCTGAGCCTCAAACCAAATTCTGTCAATCACTCCTGACCGATGTAACAGGAAAATGGCCCTCAAAGGGTAGGCCTGTGTTGCACGAGCGCAGATCGTTGGCTAAGTGTCCATCTGTACAGTGCAATGTTGCCCAAACCATGCATGTGTGTTGGGCGCTAGCTGCTACTCGGCGGGACCCAATGCGAGCTCTTTCTAGAACATCATGTTTGAAAACCGAGTTGCTATGTCGTACAGCACCTCCTTGGTGGCAAGTGAGTGTGGTTTTGGGCAGAGCATTTTCAATGCAGCCTTCTCAGACGAGCATCTGTTTGGTGGTCCTGGACGTCCATCAGCGGGGGCTCAAACACCTCCCACTGCCCAGGAGAAGCTCGGTACACGCCGCAAGGAACGAGCCTGCAGCAACGAACATAAACGCAGGAATGACTGAGCATAACAATGAATCTTGAGCATGTTCTGGAGCTCTCAGGTGCGATGGGCATTGCATCCCCTGAATACCATTGATCACGAAGCGTCGTAACTTCGGAGTCAAGCAGCAGTAGTCACCGCAAATTACAACAAAAGTGGCAATGGCAGCGATAGTAGTACTGGTTGACATTATTGCAATGGTAGGTCAGGTTCATGGTAGTCACAGTGGCAACGTCATGGTGATGATAACAACAAGAGTTTAGTGATAGCACATGTAGCAGTAAACTCATGACGATAAATGAGCTTGCTACTGCTTCTTGCTGCGGTGATGATGATGATGGTGGTGATGATGCGGTTTTTGCTACAGTTGTGTTGATGGTGACATCGGACATGCTGGTGATGATGTGGATGAGGTGAGGTTGTAGGTGACACTTGATGTGTTGCAATTGGTATCATGTGAGGACAGGTGTCGCGAATGCGGTAAAACTGATGCTCGCCGTCGGCGATGATGACGAGGACCGGCGATTGCGATGATGGTGATGGTGCTGCGCTGATAATGGTGGTAGCATTGATGGCGACGGATGCGATGAAGAAGGCTCTGCTTTTCGCATTCTCGGCTTCTCCGAGCGTTGCCAAGTAACGACCGGTACGGCGTAGTCCAGATGGCACTGAAGTACTCTGCAAGACCCGCCAGTTTCAGCAGGTTCAAGACCTCACTCGCCATCGCCCGACCCGACCCCAAACGAGTACCACTGAGCACAAACCCCATGTGCTGTTACAGTCTTTATAGCAAAGGAAGCACATGCAATGACTCTCGGCTGTGTCCCCGGATGAGTGTTTGCAAAGGGAATGTCGGAGTGCAAATGAGCACATGTGGACCCTCCCGCCTGCGCGTACTGTAACTTACTGAGCTAGACGCTGCGGCCGCACCGCTCTCATTTTTCGAAAGCACGGCCAAAATGTGTCGCTTAGCGATGTCCTGTCGGGCTGGTAAAAAACACAAAGCTTGGCAGTAAAAGTTTAGTTTCTCATCGCGACTGTCCAAGTTCCGGACCTGACAGAAACGTCCAAACTACTCGGTTCATGTCCCAGCTGTTTACTGGCTTGTACTGTCGTGTTCTGAACTCCCCAGGAACGTGCGCGGAGTCATCGCACCATCCGACATGCAGCTACTGGGAAGCAGCAGCTTCAGTCCTGCAGCATAGCCTTCAACAGGGCCAGTCCTTCGAAAGCGCCAGATCACTTCTGGAAAGAATAGGCAAGCCACGGTGGGGTGGCCCAGTGAACTGACGCCGGGGCTCTGCAGCCATCCAAGAACGGTGATTCGAAGCTGTAGAGCACCAGCTCCTCAGCACTCCAGTCCTCGGAAGGTGGCATTTTTGCCCATCACAGATCACAGATCCATCGCCATGGCGATGGGGCCTTTCAATTTTTGTCCTACAAAAAGCCGTTTTGAGTTTCTACGGTGTGCGGTGATCAGCGGGGGGCAGTCGCCTTCCGATCCGAAAGCTCCTACGGAAGCTCCTGCAAAACTGCCAGAATTCCAAATCCACTGCTCCCGCTTCCCGCTTGCAAGCCACCGTCCCTGATAGCTCGCCAGGGTCCCAGTCGACATGTGAAAAGAAGCTCAGCGAAGGCCTCGGTCGAGAGGATGCGGCTGTGGCTTGATAGCGATTCCAAGCCATGGGAAGTGCACCAAGCCACAGATTAACGGCAAGAGATCGATGAAGCCAACCCCGTTGAAGAAGCAGGACGGCTTAATTCGAGCAAACGGCAAACCAAGGTGTCAAAACCCGCTGTCCCTCCCCACGAGAACATTGGCCGTACTGCAAAAACTCTATATAGCTACTTCAAACCTACTTCCTCTGCTGCAGCGCTGCATAAAGGTCGCCAGTGTCAGTGTTTCATCAAAGTCGAAGAGCACAACCTCCACGGGCCGTCGCACTCCTGCGCTGCACTGGCATGACGAAGCTGGGCTGGTGTGCTTGCTAAAGTACTAGTTCTCCAAACGGCACTGCGCTAATGGCAACACCGAATGCCTGCAACTCCTTCAATGCTCCTCCAACCTGGCAACATGGGCTAACCCGAGCACTCCAGACACGAGTTCCAAAAACGTCCAGAACACAAACTTCTCCACATCGCTCGAAGCGTCCGTAGTCTGGAAAGCGCCGCTGCACGCAGTGAAGCTTGAAAGTCTCCTGTGCGCTGCTTTTTCGCGGTGCAGGTGCGATGCGGAAATTCTCATCTACCCATCGTGGGCCTTGCAGCAAGGACGTTTATAACCATGGCAGGTCATTATGCCAAGGCCGCACTTCCAAGCGACATGGAACACTCGATGGATCTTGAACAAAAACAATCGTGGGCATGCGCAGTCAGCTTGATCCAAGGACTATCCGGCTCCTTGTACATGGATGGGGCCTCCACAAACATTTGCAAAGTACGAAAGTCTTCGATGCAATGGGCACCGATGCCACCCATATTCTTCACCTCAATCGCCAGAAGCTGCATTATCAGCTAGATGTCTTGATCACCAGCTCATGTCGAGCATCGAAGCCGAGATTTCTGTAGAATGCATCGTAGCGCGCCACCTGCTGTGCACTAGGCCAGGCTCAAAACGGGAGCATCAACTCGACAGTGAATCTTCCATGGCATGAGCCACTGAACCCAGCCTTGCAGAATCGAAGCACTTGTTCACCGGACGGGCTCCTCAGCACCGGCGCACAGTGAAACCTCCTCTTCCGCTTCCCTTCGTCACCTTCGTCTAAGCCGCTGGAAGTTTGCCCGCTGATCGTCCACGAGGACGATGCCTTCGAGCACGAGGTCGGCCAGGTTCTGCCGGGGCGACCGTGACCCGCTGCCCATGTCTGAACCCTAAACCCTAGCAGTCCGTCCACTCGTCTGGCTTTTCCTGCATTTGTGGCAAGAAGTCCTCGGCTGGGCACATGCTAGGAACTTGAGGATTTTGGAAGCTGCTTTTTCGGTCTAATGGGAGAGGTCATTTACGTACTGGTAGCGCTAGAAGATTCGAAACACTTTGCACAGCCCTGATTGCCACCAGGATGAGAACGACGCTCACTGATTTTTGCCACCGGGATGCTGCTGGGCGCTGCGCCACTAAGGTCAACCTCGGTTGCCACTGCGCTTGAAAGCCAATTATTGGACCTGGGAACCCGCGAGGCCTTTCCCTGGGAATCCGTTATTGATTCTAATCAATATTTCTGCAGGCTTTTGATTTTGGTGCCAGATCAACTATTTTCCTTGATTTAAAGACCTGCAGCGGCGGCTTCAAATTCAACAGAAAAACAATGTGAAAGAATGTATAGCATAAGACACAAAATTATGAACCTTCAAACCAATATAACATCAATTCTGGTCTGATGATTTCTGATTAAATTTGATTAATCCTTTTAATTCTGATTAATTCTGAGTAATTCTGATTAACTCTGATAAATTCTGATCAAACAAGCTTTTGATCAGAGACAATGATACGTTCAAACGAAAGTCGAATCAATAGTCAAATCAATAAACGTAGCAATATTCAAATCAATAGAATTTAGTGCCGCAAATCAACATGCTGTCAATACGATCCCCATTAGTTAAATCAACAATGTACAACCGAATCAATATCAACACGAAACATCTATCTCTTATTGATTAGAATCAATATCGGATGCCCAGGGTTCTCTTGTTTCAGAGCATGATGACGCGCGACATCTCACCTGAAACTCTACCCAGCCTCTTCTTTGTCGGATTGGTCCCATCCATGCACACTCCTTTGCCCCTGCCCATGGCAAACGAACGTCTAAGCTCCGGGCAGATCGGCTTTGTGTGCGACGTCCCTTACAACAAGATCGATTCGTGAAGCTGTCACGTCCAGCGCTAAGCTTACAGGGCAGTTCTCGGCAGGCACGTGCTAGTGCGGCATGGTCACTGAAGAGACAGTGTGATCGGAAGCCACTCCTCACCTGAGTCTTGCGGTGCTACACTTCAATGCAAGGGCTACGTTGATGAGTTTATGACACGGGAAGACTCTAGGTTGCACGGTTTAATTCGACAATTTAGCAGAGTGAACTCTGTGTCATCTGCTACTTGTAGGTGTCCAATGTGCGATCCAGAAATTTTGTACAAATAAGACACACTAGTAGACAAATGAGCAAATAAACAAGCACATGAACCTAAACGAATAAACAATTATGTGTATATATATATATATGTAAATGTATATATATATATATATACATACACACACATACATATGTATGTATGTATGTACGTATGTATGTATGTATGTACATTCTTATGTATATATGTATATGTATATGTATATCTATATGTATCTCTCTCTCTCTCTCTATTTTAGATAGCGTCACATGTCGTGTTGTTAGCTGTGCCGGGCTGGACCTCCCCTCGAAGGATAAATTCTGATGGGACGCGGTGGGAACAGGCTACAAGGGCATTCCCGCACCTCACATTTTATGGGACGGCTGGCTGTGTTTCACACCAGTGCCAGGACGCAACCTTTCACGACATATCACGACTGCAATGCGCTAACCGTAAATGGACCGAGGCACCGTGTCGATAGATCCCGGAGAACTCGGCTTGCGAGGGCAATGCCCAAATCGCGTCAAAGCACCTGATCTCGATTTTCGCGTTGATCTGAGGAGGGATGCTGATGTCTCAATACGCCGTGACACCTTCTAAGTTCTCCTGCATTTTGGCCAAGAGGCTCTAAGAGGTCTGCCGCATACAGCAATGTGAGGACGGAACTTGCACCAGCATTGTTCTTCCTGGGCGAATGGGACCAGTATGAGGCTGCCTTTGGTCGTGCTGGCAAGGTGCCCTCCCACTTGCAAACTTCAATTGCTCATCCGCTGGGCTCCAATGCCAGTGCAGAGATCACCAATCTACTCCAGTCTTGACACCGAGCAACGATGGACAATACAGCTTCCCCGGACGCTCAACACTCGCCTTTGCGGTTCAGGCTCGTCAACACTGTGACGGCTCGCCGCGATCCAGCGCGAGAAAAGCGCAGTTCGCTAAGCATGCCTTGCAAGCTTGGCTGGTCTGGCGCATTTCCGGCACGAAATCCCGAGTTGAAGTGGCATCCCCCCGTATGCTCCAAAAGCTCCGATTCGGCTGAGCTGCCCATGAGCTCGGACTCCAAGACCCCTTCAAAACCCTCGCCAGATTATGCCCCAAAGCTGTGAGGACCTGCTTTTCGTAGCTCGAATTAGTCCGTTGAAGCGCTCTTTTGCCGATCATTGCCCACCAAGCCACTCTTGAGGTTGGCGATTCGGCTCCTGAGCAGCTAAGAAGGACGGCATGCAGGCTGAAGCACGCGATGCTCTAGCAAAGACTGCCAGGCATTCAGAGACATGTTGGACATGTTGTGGCACTCCTGCTATGCGGCTGCGGCAGCAAAAACTAGCTGACTCCTTGCTATACATATTGTTTTTGTACAATCGTTCGACTCGGAGAACTGGCTGAGGGCCTGATCCAACTCTCCAAGCAGTCGTAGCTGGGACCCTAGGCCCTAGCCTGCCAACGACAACGACGACAGAGACCAAACCAACCACCCACCAGCAACAGCAGCAACAGTAGCAGCAGCAGCAGCAGCAGCGGCGGCCGCCGCGGCTGCTGCTGCTGCTGCTGCTCTTGCTGCTGCACGAGCACCGCCACGCACAACCACCAACAACAACAGAAACGACAGAAGCAGCAAGGAACGAACAAACACAGTAGACCCCTCAGAACTTTCTTCTATCATCGAATCGTGGAGTTAGAGAAGACACACCCTGGCTGCCCCTTGCATATTTTGTCTCTGCTACCGGGTGGAATTCCACAATCTGGTGCCCAGTATTTTCTGCTCTGTTCCCTGCTATTTGTGTTTTTATTGGTCGGGCGGACATGGTCCTTTCCAGCCCGCAGACCCATCCGACAACTGCCCAAAGTTGTTCAGAGCTCTGGGCAGACGGCCCAAGTGCAATGCAGGAATGGGCTGAGTTGCTGCGGAATTGCAACTGGACTCTCGCAATTCGAACACGCAGGCGCGGCTGTTGCGGTTTTGACTTTCGCAACTGGGACAAACCTGCAGACGGCCAACGCCATAATCCGTTTCAACTTCAACGATGACCATGGAGCCGTTTTGAGTAAGTCGGTTGGTTCACGAAAGCTGTGGGTTTCCTCCTGGCAGCATCCTTGGCATGCGGACTCACCGACGGAGCTATGCGCAGTGCCGAGCACATCATCCATGTGCTGAACAACTGAGTGTGCTTCAATCCACAAGTGGCCGAACCGGGGTCGTGCGTGCTGCACTTCCTTTGAGGTGGCCTTGCATCCTTTAGAAGAACCTGAGCCGAACGGATATACCTGCTGGCTTGTAGACTGTGCGAGTCCATGGCCCCTTGGCACGGTGACGACGCGACCAGCTATGCTCAACTGTCGATGCCATATCCTTTAGGTTCTGCAACTCGTGCTGTGGAACCGGAACCGGCCAGGCGAAGAACCTCAAACAAGTCTCTGGGCCTTCCCGAAGTGCGCCTTCGGGGACATCTCCAGAACAATTGTTGAACATCTGCCCCATGCGTTCCGCAGAAGGGGCAATAATTGTGATGATCTCCCACGTCCTTTCAGAGAAGGCCGCTTGGGTCCTTTGCACCACAGATTGGCCGCCGTCGCCAAGCTTCAACAAGAAAACGGGCGACTTTTTGCATACCTTGCTTTTATGCTCAAACGCCAGCGGCCGTTGGCTGCATGAACATTCCATGGTGATGCTCATGATGAGAGGAAGACGATGATCCAAGTGTTGATGCTGATCGGGGTAAAGGCGACGGCGGTGAGGAAGAAAACCGCGATGTGTCATGGTTGCGTTGAGCAATACGAGTGGCCGGATGACCGGCCCCACTCGTGCTGCTGCACGAGCACCGCAACGACGACGACTGCTACAACAACAACTACTACTTTACGGCCACTGCCACTACGATGACGACCACTGCAAGTACGACTACGACGACTACGACTACAACGACGACGACGACTACCGTGACTCCTAGGTACGAAGCTACCACCACCACCACCACCAGCAGCAGCAGCAGCAGCACCAGCACCAGCACCAGCACCACGTCTGCTACTGCTACTGCTGCTGCTACTGCTACTACTACTACTACTACGACTACTACTGCTGCTGCTGCTGCTACTACTGCTACTGCTACCACCACCACGACGACTACTCCTACTCCTACATGTCCTACTCCTGCTCCTACTCCTTGCTACTACTGCTACTACTGCTGCTGCTGCTACTACTACTACTACCACTACTACTCCCACTACTACTCCTACTCCTACTTCTACTACTACGCTCCCGCACAACGACCTGTACCTGTACCCGTGCCAGTACCATGACTAGCACTGCTGCTAATACTCCTCCCCTGCTGCTGCTTCGTCGCCACATCCGGCAAACGAGGAGGAAACAAATCCCAAGGTTGCTTCTAATGCAGCTTAATTCAATTAAACTTACTATCTGGGGGATCCCCTGTGTGAAAGCAGGTGCAACATTGCGATGCGCATGAATGGGCTGGGTAGCAAACATTGGCAGGCTGTCGGCTGCTGTTGCGTACACTCTGCGAAAAGGACAGTGTCTGGACGAGAAGCCCTTTCACCCATGGTGACTGAAAGTTCGTCTTCACGATCTCTCGCCTCGGGAAATGCCAAGTTCATTAGCACGAGATCCTGTACCATTGAGCGGCTCTGCCATCAGATCAGTGTGGCCGACTGGCGTTCACGATTCACGGCTACTCTTTCAAACCGTGGGCAGCCAAGAGGCTGCATCTCCGGAGTGTCGCCCTCCTCAAATATAGTGGCGAAGAATCGAAAGAAACAGCTTCAAGATGATTCAGGGTTGAGGCCGGCATTGTCTCATTCCGTGCTTGAACTAGCTGTATCATGTGCCCAGGGCTTGAGTGAGAAGGTTCGGGATTGCATCCCACGCGAGCCTCGATGATGTAGGTGATGAGCGTGAGGGTTTCATCAAAGTCGAAGACTACAAGCTTCACCTGCAAGCCGTGTGGGGTTGCAAGAAGAGCTTGTCAACAGTAGTGCGTTTGCTTAAGTCGGGTCTGGTCTGAGTCCACTGACCTGCATAGCTGCTACAGCTTGGCATGGAGTGGGTTCATGGGGAAGAGGCTACAAGGAACCCGGATGTCCAAACCTTGTACTACAATCGTCAGAAAACACAACTTCTGCACGAGAAAGCGGGCTGATGCACAAACAGGAGAACGAGAGTACCGGTTCACGCAATGGGGTCACATGGGAATATGAGGTTCAGGGGAAAGCCATGCACCAGCCGTCGTCGTGGTCACAGTCTCAGTTGCAGCAAGCAGCAGACGGTTTTCCGCGAGGTGCACGCGTGCGTGCATCTAAACGGGAAGCTTATTCTTGCCCGTATTTGCACTAGTTCAAGCCTTTTTTTGCCTCCGAGCTAGCTAGGACGAGCCCGTTTTCAAGCCTGAAGAAAAAGGTTCATGCTTGTTGTTGTGCTGCAAGCATGTGACTCTTCCTGCAAGGCGTGTAAGTGTAGTTTAGGGTTGAGTGCATCCTGATAGCAATTCCTTGTGTGAGCGTTGCGCAATTCCCGCCCAGCACTGGCAAATGTGGGGGTTGGGGATGTTCGACTCGGCCCTGGCCTTCTTTGGGGTGGGACCTCCTTTGGCCTGGGCCATTACTCACTTTTGGAATTGCATGAGACTGGTCGTGACCTCCATCGTCTCAAGTTTTGAAAAGTGAGGAGCGCTGCACATGTGCTTGCAAGTGATTGTGCCTTTACTCCAGTGTTCAAGCTTCACTGCCTTGGTGATGAGCTAAGCCGCTCAACTAAATACTTCTTCTGTTCGCTAATGTGCGCATGTGGTTGCTGATTTGCCCGACAAGGAGACGGGAGAATCGTTGGTATGTTGATCAAAGCTACCTGCAAGTGCTACAGCTAGAATCGCAACTCAACAAAAAATTCAGATCCCTGCAATAGTGACAAGCCACTGCGGGAACCACTTTGGGAAAGCAGTGCGAGAAGAGTGTACCACCTGCGAGCAAGGCAGCACAAAACAGTACAAGCATACAGGGTTCCATGATGTGAAACGCAAGAGTAACTGCATTTTGAAAGCTCCTGCACCCTTCGGTCAGGAAACCGGGAAGCGATCGTTCGGACTCCGAAGGCTGCGTTGTGAGCACGAGCCTTGGTCTGCTGCAGGGTGTAACGTTGCAGAAAGGCGACGAGTGGCCAGTCAATTCAGAGTTTCGCTGTATCCTCAAGGCTTGCTTTCGGTGGAGGAAGAAGCGCTTACTTAGGGCAAGGTCTCATCCGCTTCTTGTGAGGCGATGGCATTGTGGACATCACTGCAATATGCAATATCACAACAAGCGACCCCACTGATAAGTGATGACATCCAGCAGCATAGGCCGTTGGAAAGTTCAGCGAACATTGCCTTTCGAGCGAATGCCAAGCTGCATTTGAAGGCAGCACGGGAGCTGGACCTCCGGGGTGAGTAGGGCCTGCCAACGCAAAGTTGGGAACACAGAAAGTTTCTATACTTCCTGGTCGGATCACGCAGAGTAAAAATCGGAGTAGGTCGGGACATCCAGGCAAGATTGTGGCAGTGCTGGTGCCCCAAGTGTGTACACAGCTGTATAGCAGACCATGGCACAAATTGAAGAAATAAACACTCACCACGTTTACTATATACTGGGGTATACTGTACTCAGATTAAGATGTTTCCGCTGCTTGTTGTAAGTGAGGTCAGAGGGCCTTGGAGGCATCCGAACAATAGTATACAGCAACATAGGCATGTTTATGCATGTATACCCATACGTCTTTATATATATATATGTGTGTGTGTGTGTGTTCGGGCATCCCGGCGCATGTAGAGGTACATGTATCTTGTTTTGTTCAGGTACGTGCATGCATGTATGTACATGCATAGATTCATATGACGATATGTATGTACACATACGCATTTATACATATATATATATACACATGTATAGACTTTGTGTATATGTATATATAGGTATATAGGTATATAGGTATATATGTCTCTATGTATGTATGTATGTATGTATGTATGTATGGTGTATATATACATACATATAAATATATATATGTATATATGAACCTTTGTATATATATAATATCTATCTACACAGCAATACAAACACCCGAAGTATGCGCACATAGCTGTACTGCAGGCAGAAGGCGTGGTAGCCACCTGGCTTCGTATGAACTCAGCTGGGTTGTTCGTCATCATTACTGCACACATCGTGGCTGCTGTCGCCAATCTCTGTCATGTACATTTGTTTGAATGAGATACAAAGAACTGATAGTCTTGTGGTTTTGGTGTGCTTCTGCTTCTACAGGATACTTTCCGTACATAGTGTGACCCATCTCACCGGATAGCGCCGCCATCCAAGATCTTGCTATCATGGTATCGGCATGATGTCGTTGGCATGCGCTTACGAAGTCTTGCTACAGTTGTGTGATCACAATGCCTAGCATGACCAAACCGTGCCAAACACTTGTTGACGACACTAAGATTTTGCCATTACGGTTTTGTTCAAGAAGTGTCTTGGAAGCCGTTGAAGCAATATGTCGGAATATTGCGCTAGGACCTTCATAGGGACATAGCCTCAAAACTGCATACCTGTACTAGATAGAAACATATATACATGTTCTGTCAACCGTATATGCCGGCTCCATAGCACCTTCGAGAGGATTGACTTGCAGCAGGGCTCGGAGAGCAGGGAAAGTTTAGACACTGACGGCCATCGAACCAAAAACCAGCATAATTGACGCCGAACCACCTTTAACAACGCATTCGTGAAGACAGCAAAATGACTGCCCTGCTGCCGTCATCTTGTTCGCATCTGATCGCAACCACATATTTACTCGTAATTAGTGGTGGAGCTGCAGTGCAGAGACATGCACAAAAGCAGAGCGTGGTGCCGAACGCAACTCATCCAACATTAACTAAGAGGTCCAGCAACTTCTACAATGCGATAGTAGCAACCTCTTCTGACCACCGCTAAGCCGCTTAAGCCCATCTGTCAGTTCAAAACAAACAAGCAACACATCATCGAAATGCTTGAGATATTGACCGATACTGGCACAGCTTTATCATAGACATGAAATTACGACGCACAACTTTCAAGTGGTTACTCATCTGACGTTCCCCTATGGTGCAATGTTGTCTGCATGCTTTGCACATCGGTTTCATGATACGTAAGTCATGCACCACGACAGTCTTGAGTTCGAGATCCGAGAAGCTTACTGTTTGCAGCCACCTTTGCAAACAACTTCAGCAGAACTGTGCCACGGTGGCAAGCTGAATTTCCCACCCGCGAAATGCAAATGAGCATGATGTGAAACGGGCACGATACAAAAAGGCCCTCTGTGCTTATAAGCTATAAGCAGTACGAAAATAGCGCCGTAGTAACTCAGTGTCATAGCCGTGCGGCAAGACCCCCGAAGCAAGATGAGAGGAATAGTGCCGTAGTCAGAGTATCAGCACGGTGGAAAGTCGACAATCGAAGCCATGTGACAAATACCACGGAAATTGACAATGCCGCCGGGAAAATGCTGCTCCAGCACATTCGACAAACTATTCTTTGTACCCGTCAGCGACGGATAGTTCAAATGGAGGGAGCCGTCGTGTTGTGGGGGTGGTCATTTGTAATATTTAGTGCTCTAGACCGCTCCATGCAACCTTGGCGTGCTTGCAAACCATGCAGCACCCTACCTCCTTTGTCAAAATCTCAACCCCTCTGCACCCAACAGGGATATGTATCCCTTAGCCGTTTATACCTTACGCCTACATAGCCCTCCTGCTGCCGGGCTGCTGCTCCTGCTCCTACTCCTAC